CCTGCATAACACGAGAATGAACTTCATTTGTTCTTGCACGCAAACTTGCTTGAGCTTCTGTTTACCACAACTGATGTTTGAGTTGATGATGAATGGACAGAAAACTGTCAGTCAAATTTCATCAAAAACATCTTCATTTGTGTTCTGAAGATGAACGAATGTCACATGGGTTTTGAAATGACATAAGGGTGAGTAATTAATGACAGAATTTTCATTTTTGGGTGAACTATCCCTTTTAAATGTATTCAAGAAAAAAAATGTTTCACTGTAAAACAAGTTACTGTGAACTTTTTTGACTAATCTGTTTTCGCCAAGGGAAAAAGAAAGCAGTAGAAAGAGGCAAAGACAGTTAGGGGGCAATGCGAGTTGGAAACTGGAATTAACGCTCCCTGCCAGGACAAGATGGGAGAAGTTCTTGTCCTCACAGGTTGTCGGCATTGAGTCACAGCCAGGAAGAAAACTGATTTAATTACATTCTAACCCCAAGACAAGCACAGACATTCCTGAGTGTTTGGAAGGGCAGCCTCCTTCAACCTGCAGCCGGCAAGCTAATTATCCACACAATAGACACTGTGTCCAGGTAAATGACTTTAGATATTGCGCATTAGCTGAGGGAAAAATTGCAGGCAACAGGAGCGGGAAGGAGGTCATCCTTCTTTTATATGGTGTTGAATGAACCTTAGGATTCTTTGGCTCATCTGTTTTCCCGCTCAAACGAGCAGCTGTCTCTGATCCGCTCACTACAGACTAATTAAGTTGTGCTAAAACTGAAGCCGCCAGCAAATATCACTTATCAGTTAAGAAACAAGGTTAAGATTTGGGAAGCAGTTAGTTCTTCTCTACAAAACCATTGTCATGAATTTTGGTTTCATCAATGGTTTTGGAATGTCCTACAAGAAATAGGCAAAACAATATCGTGTTGTCCTTGCTATGCAAATGACTCTGCATTCACAAGCAAATGACTCTTTTGTGTGTTATTTCTAAGGAATCAGTCAAAAAGACTCACAAATTAGTTGTGAACTTAGTCGAGAACTTAATTGCTTGCTTAAAGGGGTCCTATTACGCCCTTTTACGAAGTCTTGATTTCATTTTTGAGGTGTACTAGAATATGCTTTCATGCTTGCTTGTTAAAAAAACACATTATTTCTCATATATTTTACATTATTATTAGTATTACGTAATAATCCCTCCGAAATACAAAATGTGCTGTGATTGGTTAGCTGGCCCGGTGTGTTGTGATTGGCAGCGCTTAGCGCGTGTTCAGGAAATATCCTGCCCCTTCATAACCACCACAGGTTCTGCTCTTGTGTAAATATAAAGGATGGGCGCAATTTCAAACCTGATTCAGACCCTGACAATGTTAACAAACAAGAGTGGTATTTTTATTTATTTTTTACATAATAGGTACGATGTTATCCACCGTTTAATCATGATATTTGTCGGAAAACTATGATTATCGAGAATGAGGAGTTGACGTCATTTTACAGTGCCCCTCCCCTTTCCGCCATGTTGGTAGGATTCCCACGACAAAACAGTATTGATTACGTGTGTTTTTAGCTCGGTAGTAGAGGAGTTTCTCGCAATACCGCACTGTTTTACCATGCCTGGAAGTAACTGCTGCGTTAAAAACCGATAAAAACCCTGGTAACCGATAGCGTCACCTACCATCATGGCCGACCGGCTCAGACCCCGCCCAAATAGGCACGTGACTCCTCATTCTCAATACAAACAGTAATTGATCACAAAAAGGTAGTGAAAAGCCTTACAAAAGCGAGAGTTTACAAAAGCTATAGTAACCAACACAATATCAACTATATCATGGCTAGCCGACAAGCATACCAACAACATAAAACTAATAACTAGAACTTTTAATAAAAAATGAACTACAAATAACTTACAATGTCCAAAATGGTCTAAAACTAAATAATTTCCAGAACTGATTCATTTTGAGTTGTCTATGACATTATATATTTCTAAACTATGTATAATATCAAAGAAAATAGTTTAATATAAACAATTATTAAAAGAGATTAAATTCTTAAGCTGTTGATGCACAACTTCTGGATTCTAGACGTTCAAAGCTTCACGTTCCACCTCAGAATATGAGAAAAACACCAGGGCAAGATCATCAGAGCCCCGATGAACTGCTCATCTGCTCATTTTCAATTAAAGCTCATTTATGAGACTGTGTCTCTTTATGACTGTTTTTATTGGCCATCATGAAGATTAGAGTTTATGACAGTAGCTGCACATCTGCTATTCCTCTTAAACTTTAGAGACTCTATTGACAACTTAAGCCCTGTAGAGACAAGCTTTAGTATCTAACTTGATCATTATTAATAAACCTTTGAGGTGAATCTGAGGACTAGCTTGTTGTACCTACCTTCATGTAAAACGTTCACATTTCTCTTGTGTAGAGTGTAGACAATCGCTGGACTGAAAATACTATAAACCAGTGCAAATCTGAGGCAAGAAACTAGCGATTTGCTTGAGAAGTCTTGATTTCTGAAGAATGTGATTTCTGTCACCAAATGAAACTAATTCAAAATAATGACTGTTTCCAAACAGGCTTACCGAACACTTCCCCCATTGGTCGAGCAAGCAGATATTGGTTCCGCCCCCAAATTCACCCTATTGGCTGATGCTTCCTGTGTCTAACATGTTGGGCGAACAATGACTGAAATCATAACAGCACACTGCTAAAAAATCTGCTCTTTATTTTTTGACATAAAAAATAGGACCAGTATGCTAGTATACTGTTATAATTCAGTCATTGTTCGAACAACTCAGTCACAGGAACGATCAGCCAATCGTGTGAGTTTGGGGGCGGGACCATTGTGTGTTTGGCCGATTGGTATGCTTTCATACTGCATAAATAGTAAATGTGGTATGCTAGTATGAAAATCTATGTGATAGGAACGTTTTCTAAAATGTTTTGTTCAATTAAATAAATCTAATTAAGTATGTATTTGCATACATTTATAGAATAGAAATCTGAACTGGATAAAGACAGATTTTAGTTTTGTGTTACATATTATATTAGAGTTTTTTTTGAACAGTCAAACTCTTTAGAATACAGAATAAAACTGTAAGTTGTACCTACGTAGAGGTAGGTCATGTGTATTTATCTTTACACTAGTATGAAAGAAGAAAAGTTATTGAAGCAAAACAGCCCAAAATTTAAAACAATGGTTTTCCCAGAAAATACACACATCCTTTAGATGCATCAAAGTTGTGTGTGAGATGATCATCAACAGATAATGCTTTAAAATGACCTGAAGTATAGTCTCTGAAAGTATAATTCACACACTGAGTTTGCTGTAAGCATCTAAACCATGGTTTGTGTTACTGATTAACCGTCACCGGTGTGTTATCTGTGAGTGTGGGTCTGTATATTGACATTCCAGAGGACTGGACCTTGTGCAAACAGCCTCCTGACAGATGGAGGGTACGAGAACGAGTGGATGGAGGCGGTAGTCGGCGCTCTGATGGGCTCCTCACGTATTTCAACAGCTCTGAGCTGAAGAACTCTATGTGGCAGATGCTCATCGCAGTCTCTCATTAAGCGGATCATACAGGCTGGTGGAGACCAGTAATGGGCTCTGAATGCTTGTGCCACTGATGGTCATGACAGGTTTCAGTCACCATAGTTATTGTCCCGTGACCCCAGTAATCTCATAAGTGTCTCATCTAAAGATCACAACAAGGTCTAAGAACAAGGGCCTAAAATGAACACTCGCCGAGCGCCAAATACGAGTAAAAATCTGTATAGGAAGCGGTGTCAATCACCTGCAAAATTTGCATAAAACTTTTTAGAATACTATATTGAGCTCTCTTTTACGTCTTCTTGCGCTTGAATGGACAAATTTACACAAAATGATGCCACAAAATGCCCGTCTTGGCGAGTTTAGTTCTAACACACCTGAACAAGCTAATCAAGGTCTTCAAAGTTACTAGGAGGTCTGCAGGTCTATGGTCACCACCTCAAAGAGCATGCACAGAGAAGTCCAAATTAAACATGATTTAATGACTCGTAAATGTAAGTATAATTGCTGGCCTAAGACACGAAACGAGCGGTTTGTGTGTGAAAACGAACAGTATTTATATCGTTTTTACTTCTTGTGACCACAGCCACGTCCAAGTGATCTGAGGGCCTGAGTTGGTAACAAGAGGTAAAAACGATATAAATACTGTTCGTTTTCTCACACCAACTGCTCATTTCGTGTCTTAGGCCATCAGTGTGTACTTACATTTACGAGTCATTTAATCATGTTTAATTTGGACTTCTCTGTGCATGCTCTTTGAGGTGGTGACCATAGACCTCCATATGACTGATAGACAACACCGGTTTGACCTAAAAATATCAGAATTGAAACTACTGTGGAAACAAAGACATCTACATCTTGGATGCCCTTGAGGAAAGCTAAAACATACCAAAAATATATTTCAAAGTGAACTATTAATACTAAGAAAAAATCTGTTCACTTGATGGTTCTTTGGGGGAACCAAAAATGGCTCTTCTATGGCTTTTGCTGAGAAAACCCCCAAACTTTTATTTTTAAAATGTAAGTCTGACGCTATTGGGATGAGCAGCTCTCTTAAACACAGCCTTATGATGAACAAAAATGACCTGTAATGGCACTTTTCTGGGAATGCTGGTTTCTACAGGAATGGTAGATGATCTCAATTTTTTGTCTACAAGACAAAAAATGAGATCAAATGATTGATTTGCCTAGGTTAACATCTGCTTTTCAGATGATTCTCTGAAGAAAAAGACCCCATACATGTCTCATCAAAAGATCTCAACAAGGTCTCAAACTGCTCACAAACTTGAAATTAATGTTAGATATCTCAATATGAACAATTCTTATCAAATTCGTTCTACATTAAGACAAGGATGTGTGTCTTTGTACTTGAAACTTTCACAACATGTGCAAGGACACCAGAAATACACTTATTACCTACTGTAGTATAAAAAAACAAAACAAAATCACACACAATTCATTTTTTCCATCTTTAATTTTACAAATCTGTCAGGAACATTTGTTGTGAACAACCTCATCTCATTTTTGCCTGGAAGAAAATGAAACACTTGAACAATTAATACTTCTGTGTTTTGAAAAACTGTATTGTTGGTGTGGGTAAAACTGCAAAAAATATATATACTGCAACCTTTTTTTTCCAGTATTTTGTCAAATTCAAATGCAAAATTCAGTGTGAGTAAACAACATCCTCTACAATAGAAAAGGGATTAGCTGACTATAAAAATGTACGTTATTTTTGCATTTTAACTTACCATTCACATTTGTATATATATATATATATATAAAAACCGTAAGAAATGCAAATATTTCGATACCAGCTACAAATAATTATTTGTACCATTACCTCACTGAAATGTCATTTTAAATTACAAAATAAGCATTATGAATCATTATCGTTTCTACTGTCATCATTAATATTATTATCTCTTTATTATTTTGATCTTTATTTATCCTTTTGATTCTTTTTAACATAAGTCAATAAATTAACATGCTATCTCTTTCCCTGAAAGCCAATACGTGACTGTGTCAGTCGCGCAGGACCCGACATTAAACGTTTCCTGGATTCAAACCAGCACCACAGCTCAATGTGTCTGGAACGTAACTGCACCAAAATAAGAGTTTTGTGGCTTTTAGTGCACATTTGTTAATTTTGAGGTCATCTAAATGCTAGTAAACTCCTAATAGAAGACAAAGAACATAAACTTCCTGTTTTAACAGCAAAAAAAAAACAACACTTTCTTTAATGTCGAGTCCTGCTGTACATGTGCGAATGTTTGTCTGGGAATGTAATAGAAACATCTAGAGCATTTTTGACTCTGGAGAAAAAGAGGGAAAGGGGAGGAATTGTTCGGAAGTCCATACAAAAAAATAATTCATTGTAAATATATAATATATATTTTTACATATTTGAATATATTTACAAATATACCCAGCACTATATACCATGTTTTAATATTATTATTATTATTTTTTACCAATGAGGATAACTGCTTGGGCTTTTGTACGATAACCGAGTTATCACGGTAAAAACTGAACATTTAAAAAAAAAACAACCGGAGGCAGTGATATGTTTTCTTCTACTTCTTCTTCTGTTAGTTGTGTGTTTCCATATAGTACTCGTTTCCTATTTTCTCCTTTTAGTCTCTGAAGAGTTCTGTACACGTGCTCCGTTTCATTTCACTTGGGAACACAGACTCCTGGAATGCCAAGCAATGAAATGATGGCAAGAATGGAAGAAAATTCCAACATAAACGGAAAAGAAATCTGCAAAATAAACAACAAAATAAAAAGAGGCGGGCCCTTGAGAACAGTCACTTTTCTCTGGTCCTCGTCCTCTTCTTAAGAGCTTGGTCACGTGTTTTTGTGTGCGCAAGTGTGTGTTTCCATAAAAATAAAAATAAAAAAAAAACACCTGCTCTTCACACACTTCAGTTTCTTTCCGGAAAAAGCAGCACTCGGGCGTCTCAGCCTCCCTCGGCACGCTCCCAAAGTCCAGCGGGAGCTTCACCAGGGGTCTTGAGGCAGCGTACGGTTCTGGGTGGGTAAAAAAAAGTGAACTGTGGGTAAAAGTCTTTCACTCTTTTTGAGGACTGGAGGTGTAGCTTGGATGTGGTGGGTCTGGAGGACGTTGAACGGGCTCATGTTTTTATGCCTCCGTTGATGTGCTGGTACTTGGGAAGGCAGGGCTCGTCCGCTAAAGGGTCGTGAGAGAAGACGGAATCGTCTCCGGAAGAGCAGGAGCTGCGTGTGTCGGGGAAACTGGGAGAATACTGCTCCACTGGGGCACACAGGTCCAGATACTCCTACAGACACACAGATCAAGCCATCAGCATATAAGTTCTTATGCAGTCCAGCTGTTGCATTTAATAAAAATAAAAAAAAAAATAATTATATTTCAATAAGTCAAATAGGAATAGAGAATATTTTCCAGTTGGAAAATAAAGCACATTTCTATGGGGGAAAATGCATTGGAAAGCCGTGTTCTTTTGATATCATTACTATTATAGATTTTATATTTTTCATTTTTATTTTAGTTGAAGTGCAAATATTTTTGGTTGTGTCATTACACTCTAAAAAACGCTGGGTTGTTTTAACCCAATTTTGGGTAAAATATGGACAAACCCAGCCATTGGGTTAGATTTTTAAATTACATTTTTAACCCAATGGCTGGATTGGTCCATATTTTACCCAAAATTGGGTTAAAACTACCCTACATTTTTTACTGTGTACACTCTAAAAAATGCTGGGTTATTTGAACCCAAAATTGGGTAAAATATGGACAAACCCAAATGTTGGGTTAAAAATGTAATACATTTTTTTAACCCAACTTACAACTGTACATTTTTTAATTACATTTTTAGTCCATATTTGACTTTTTAGAATGTATTATTTTTATGTACACAAATGTTTTTGTTTACACTTACTTATGATATTGTTCAAAGGTTTGAGGTCTGAACGATTTTTTTAATGCTTTTTAAAAGTCGCTCACAAGGCTGCATTCAAAAAATACAGTAAAAACTATAATATTGTAAAAAATATTATTACAATTTAAAACAACTGCTTTCTATTTGAATATATTTATCATTTATTCCTGTGATCAAAGCTGAATTTTCAGCATCATTACCCCAGTCTTCAGTGTCACATGATCCTTCAGAAATCATGATTTACTCCTCAAGAAACATTTCTGATTATCATCAATGTTGAATACAGTTTCAATTTTTGTGGCGACCGATACTTTTGTTTTTCAAAAGCATTTTTTTTACTGACCCCAAACTTTTGAACACTATCAAATAATTATTTAAAGGGGTGATGAACTGAGAAATCAAATTTTCCTTCAGCTTTTGACATCTAAGAGGTCATCATATTATGAGAATATCCTGTAAGTTTCAGAACTGAAAACGTCCTTGTTAGTCCAATAAAAGCTTTTATTGACACCAGGCTCAGCAAACGACTCGTTTTTCAAAGAGGGGAACTATGATGTCAAAGAGGATAAAACACCACCCCCGCAGAAGAAGATCAGCGCCTACTTCAACATAGCCGGTTAGCCCCGCCCACTGATTCGCGATGACTACCTCATGATGACAACCCGGATCGAAAGTGAAACTCATTATAATATGCAAAACTGTTATCCACTCACAGCAGTGGGCGTTTACTTCCAAGTCTTCACTGCGAGACGCCCATAAAAAAACGAGCGTTTTTGAGCTAAGCTCAAAACTAGGGTAGAAAATAGCCTCTGATGTTTTTTTAATGTAAAACCAAGCGAACGTCATAAGTTAACCTCAGATAACAATATAATAAAAATTAAAAAGCCCGTTCATGACCCCTTTAAAACTCAAATAATACTTTCCGCCGCGGTTCACCAGCAATAACACTCAACTACAAGCCGCTTCCTTCAACATACAGCAAACTCAAATGTTAGAACACTCAATAAGAGTTTAACCAAGCTGGAAAAACACTGTCTCCTTCAAGTCTAACCAAAATCTGGTTATCGAAATTCAGTGAATCAGAAGGGACCACACCTGAAGACTTTCGAAATACATCATATAAACATCCAATGCACATGAACATCCAGTATGAGAAAAATGTCCATGTCCCTGGTTCATTCCTCAAACAAAATTGGAGCCATTTTCTCTTTGTGGCTTGTACTGAGCTATTTGACTAGAGGAAGAGGGGGGGTTTTAGGTTGTTGGATTGAACTCTCGCTGCTCAACACAAGGCAGCTCACGTTACTAAAGACCTTCACATCTGTGAGCAGTTTAAGACGGGGGGAAGAAAGCAGAGGCACTTTATTACATTTCTAAAGTTCAAAACGGCGGGGCTTTTGGCATCATCTCTCTTCCACGGCTCAATCCCCCCTTCGACAAGTTCTGACAGATTTCCATCCCTCAGCCCGCCACACGGATATCGTGGACGACAGCTGGGGAACGGAAAGCGTTCAATTGAGCAACGCTAGCCGCACTCGCGAACCCGAGCACGTGCAACTCTCGACCTGTCCGCCGTTTCCTTCCCTTCGCGGATCTTGCGAAATGTTGCGAGCTGAAGCCAGCGTTGGCACGGGTCTGATGGATCCCAGAACTATAAAGAAAACGTGACTGGTTTCGGATCCGTTTATGCAAGCGTGTGTAAATGTGTGCACGTCTCACCTCGTTGGTTGCCAAAGTGAGAATGCGGTCCAAGTCCTCAACCAACTGTTTGAATGTGGGCCTGTGGGAAGAGATCGCATGCCAGCAGTCCTTCATCATCATGTACCTGAGATAGAGGAAAAGACAATGTGACATCATTTATTTATTTCCACGCTTTGTTTTGGAGATCAACCATTTGAGTAATCAGGCATGCTCAGTGTGCGCTAACTATCTGGTTCAATGAAAAGGCAACATCTCAAAGCTACTGCAACGTCTCATTTTGGCAGTAAACCAGTGTGTGAAAGTTTGTTAGGTCACTGACATTATGGCTGATGGACACTTTTTGGGGGTTAGGGTGAGAAGGAGCTCATTTGTCACTGTGAATTGTCACTACCAATGTGAAACTACAACCTGTGGGTTGTTCTCAGAATCTGCAAAGTGTCTTAGCAGGGAAATTAGCTTCAAGTCGACATGAAACAACAACACTAGCGTAACTAACTAGGTGACTTTGCCATCAAAGGAGATAAATAACAGTTAGACATTCGGCCTGAATGATCATAGTAACACAAATTGCTTTCACTTATTGCTGATGATTTCGTTTTGGTGATTTCAAATATCAATATTTGTATCAATATATATAAATTATATATTATCAATATATAATATTTAATAATTTATATAATATCAATATATATAAATTTCCATTATAAGGATCAGCAGAAATCACTTATACTGCACCTTTAACTAGTATATAATGAAAGCCAAAAATGTGATTTTAAAAAGGTGAGTTGGACGCCAGCTTAAAGGAGTAGTTCACTTTAAAAAAAACTTTTGCTGATAATTTACTCACCCCCATGTCATCCAAGATGTCCATGTCTTTCTTTATTCAGTCGTTTCATTTACATTTATTCATTTAGCTGACGTTTTTATTTGGACCTTGAACCGTTTGGACCCCATTGAAGTCCATTATATGGAGAAAATCCTGGAATGTTTTCATCAAAAACCTTAATTTCTTTTCGACTGAAGAAAGAATGACATGGACATCTTGGCTGACATGTGGTTGAGTAAATTATCAGAAAAAGTTTTTTTAAAAGTGAACTAATCCTTTAACTAGCTCACTGACATGAAGAAGTAAATAAGAAAAATGGTAGAAAATGAAAATGTACTGTAAAATAAACTGCAACTGAAATAGAAAATGATTAAAACGGTAACCAGGACACTAGTTTAACTAGTCACATTGAATGCAAATAAAAATGGCAAAAATGGTTAATGGGGCGACAGCTTAAAGTCCCTATGAAATCAAAATTGACCATACTTACTTTGTTTGCCTAAATTGATCGTTTTGTGGTGAACAATTCACACACGCAAGTCAATCCACACAAACAAATTTTTTGGCTTCGTAATCTTTAATCAAAGTTTGAAAATGCCCCTCCTCTCTGCATTGACGTAGGCTTTACGGTTTGGGTGTCTCCTTAACATCCATAACCACGCCCCTCCAACTGACAGCTGCTGTGTGTTTGCGAGCGCCGAGCGAGGATTGATTGACAGCGTGAGTAAACTTGCGTCATCCTCCATTTCAGAATGAAACACCCATTTATCTAGATCCAATCAGGCGCTAGTTAGAAAAAAAAGCCACACCCACTATTTTGCCTCATTTAGTATTCCGTTTCTCTCGGAAATACGTCACAACACTGGAGAAAACTCGTTTGCAACTTCCGGTTCACGGGGACTTTCAACAAACTAACAGACATGCTAAATTATTCCAAATATGAATAGATTTTAGCGAGCATGCAACATGAAACCTTTGAGAAAAGAGCACTCACAACTCGTTGGTGCAGTTAGCCGGTTTGTCCATGCGATGACCCTCTTTTAGTAGCTTGAAAAGCTCCTCGACAGGTATTCCAGGATACGGAGAACCGCCGAGCGTGAAGATCTCCCACATTAAAACCCCAAACGACCAGCTGGAAGAGACAAAAACACACATTCATCAGATCACTTTCACAGTACAACACGTTACACTTTCAATCAGAGTTTCGACTAAACACAATGCGAGTGTATTGACGTGCAATTGAAATGTTGGACAATCAGCATTTTGTTGAGTTATTCTCAACAACCCCAGTCAAAGGGAGCAACACATCCCAGCCTCTTCTGTGGTACCATCACATCCACTACAGGATCGCTCAGTGAAATTAAGCCAAAACTCCAAATCTGATCATTTACAGTAGTGATATTTGTTGGAGCTAACAACGCAGTGGCTGTTGGGCTCTAAATGCGGTCTTTTCTCAAGACTGTGGGACCACTCTTACACGACTCAAATGACTCTGGACTCAAAGCTGGCTTTTGTCCTCCATGGAACGCCACAATGACACATATTGTCCGGCCAAAACAAACATTAGCGAGACCCACAGGAAACAAACGTCCAGAGGGCGGAAGATTGTAGCGGGGAATGATTTTTCATCACGTGCCAATTCCATGTTGCTTCATCTAAGACGGGGTGGGGGGGATGGATAAAATACTCAAATGACGATAAGAGTTTCCACAGAGGGTTCCACACGTGTCGACTCATCATATGAGAGTCCCAAAATAGGCCGGAGGACATGCAGAGCCAGAAATCCTTATCATCTGCATAAGCTTTTATTTATCCTGCTGAGTTGACAAAAGCATTTCACAATCACAAGATATAATGGTTTGAAAGGATCAATGCATTACACAATGTGCTTAAGAAACAGATCTCCACACACACACACACACACGGCTATAGAAAAGAAACAGCTTAAAGGAGTACTGTAGTTCACTTTAAAAAAAAAAAAAACTTTTGCTTTTGCTGATAATTTACTCACCCCATGTCATCCAAGATGTCCATGTCTTTCTTTCTTCAGTCGAAAAGAAATTAAGGTTTTTGATGAAAACGTTCCAGGATTTTTCTCCATATAATGGACTTCAATGGGAACCAAACGAGTTCGAATAGGAGAGTCACGAACGCGCATCACAGAACAGAGCAAGGCGACCATTTGTGCTTATAAAACTTAAACTATTTTTTTAATAAGCGATCGTTTAACGAGCTGAAATCGTTTAAAGCCCTTTGAACAGTCTTTTGGACCTTGAACCGTTTGGACCCCATTGAAGTCCATTATATGGAGAAAATCCTGGAATGTTTTCATCAAAAACCTTAATTTCTTTTCGACTGAAGAAAGAATGACGTGGACATCTTGGATGACATGGGGGTGAGTAAATTATCAAAAAAAGTTTTTTTTAAGTGAACTACTCCTTTAAGTGAGATCTCTGTAACTTCTCAATTGCTTCTTGTCGTGAGATTTAAATGAGAGCAAATTGAGACATTTGTTGGAGTCTGCGTCCTCTGAAAAAAGTTCAAGCGAGTAAGTTCAAATTCTACTAAGATCACATGACCAAATACACACATTTGTACTATACGTCAAATATTGACTCATTTATGTCTATTTGTGTTGCTCCTATGGATTTTTTTCAAGAAACATCCTAGACTAAGTAGATAAGTAAATGAAGCATGAACTTATCATTTAGTCTCCTGAGCTATAAGAGCAATCTCTGAGAAACAATTTTTTTTTCTGTTTGTACCCCTTTCCTTTCTGGTGACCCGTCGCAGTCACAAAACACAAAGCAAAGCACAAAGACTCTCTGCTTTCGTTTCTCCTGCAGTCAATCGTCCACGTGTTTATTTACATAATCAGTCGCCCTGTTTGTCTTCTTCTCGTCTTTATCTAGCGCCGCATCTTCTGTGACATGTTTGCTAAATTCATCATCTCTATTCAGTCACCCCATGTAACCGCTGCTCACCTCCCCATGATCAATCACTCACACTGAGAGCACAGAAAGGGTCACTGCAATGCCCTCTTGAACCCTTACGCTTCAATGCAATAAGCTGCAATCAGCTTGTGTCTACTATTCTAGCTAATAGACTTTGCTTGCTAATTAGCAATGAATGGGTGAATATCACAAAAATTGACCTCAAAATTAACAAAGAAATAAGAAATTACATTTTGCATGAAGAGAACATGCTTAACTTTCATGAAAATAATGCCTCAATACATAAAATCAAAAGCAAAAATAAATAAAACTATGTAATTATATATATATATATATATATATATTAGGACTGTGCAAAGATTAAAGTGCAATTAATCGCATCCAAAATAAACGTTTTTATATATTTTTATATGTTTACATAATAAATGTGTGTGTGCTGTGTATAATTATTTTGTATATATAAATACATATGCATGCATGTATATATTTAAGAATTATTTGCACGTATATATATATATATATATATATATATATATATATGTATATACATAATCTATATTATATATAAATATTAATATTTTATATATGAATAACACTTTTTCTTAAATATATACATGCATGATATATACAAAATAATTATACACAGTACACAAATTTTATTTTGGATGCTATTAATCGCAATTAATCTTTGCACAGCCCTAGTATATATATATATATATATATATATATATATATATATATATATATATAAAAGGGTGACACCTTGTTAATCTAATATAGCTGACCTTGCATGGGGCCAGATGAACCTTAACCATAAAAGCCATCAATTTAACATCCCAAGCAAATCCACACACACATGCATCCATATTTTCATTTTTGCAAGCTCTGCAACTTACATCATCCCATTCCCTGGGGGTCTTGTTTGTTAAAACATGCCAATTTTTATTATAATTTATGTATTAATTTAATATGATGTCATATATAGATTGTGTCTGCCTCTGAGCCAATCAGAGAACTCGGGACCCTCGCTGAGATAAAAGATTCAAGAATTTGCCATCAATAAGGGTCTCTTTGCTATTGATTTGATTTTACTGCACGGACCACACAAAGAGCAGACACAGACGACAAAAGATAATGACCAGCAAGAGATTACAAAACAACAAAATATTTCATTAGGGGTGGACAGTATGGCCAAAATCGTAAATGATAACGTCTGTTTTTGTACATTCCAATGCATTAAATACTGGACAAATTAAATATTGAATTTGAAAAACTTGATGGGCGCAAACCAAAAGATCAGATTATTGATAACAAAAGAATGTAGAAATGACTGCAGCCCAACCTTAGAAACGCCCCGCAGAGGCTGGGTGAAAAATCCAACATGCACCAAAGCGTAACTTCCGGTTCGTTTCATCTCTTTATGAGACAAAGGAAAAAAAAGTAAGCTTAAAATGAGATGAAACAAGCATGTACTAGCGGATAAATGCAAGCTCAAATGACAAAAAAAACAGGATTATTTCACTCTATGGAAAATAAAAAGAGGGGAAGAGACATTTAAGTGTTCAGAAAAAGAGAAAACAATAGGGTCGAGAAGCGCTGGAGAGAGGAGTGTGACGGGACGGAGTGAAGGGAAGATCGAGGGCATTTCCGTCCAGACTCTGGGAGGTGAGAGTCTGGCCCTTCTGACGGGCTTTGAAGCTGCGCAGATTAGTAACACGGCACTGGTCGCAAGTCGAGCGTGAAATCTCTCGCTTTTCGGTGTGGCGCTGGCCGCGAACAGCCCTTCTTCTCTCTCTTCCTTAACTTTCCATCACTGTTCAGAAGGGAATCAATTCTCGTACGCTCAACTCACCTGCCAGCAGTGCCTATTCATTCCCAAACTCGCTTTATACAAACACACAGCGACTCCAATCACAGTGTTTTCCTGCTCTCCAAATATAACAGTACCTTTTTCAATTTGTAGAAACAGTGTCATTTTCAAAAGCCATTTTGACTCCGATCCATTACAACTTCCACATTTCCTTCAAAACCACTGTGCAGAAGCAGTAATAAGCTATTAGCGTTCAATACCAAATCTCTTCACATGTGGAACCAGTAATAGTTGTGGTTCTGCAATTGCTTCGGTTCAGTAAATAATATGCAAGGACTAGGGAGTGAGTTACCTAACCTAACCTAAGCAAAAGCTCAAAAATAATCATGTTTTCAATGATATGTCCTCTTCAAAATGAAAAAATGGTTGACTTACACATCACTCTGGTGCGTGTACACCCGGTCGAACAGCGCCTCTGGAGCCATCCATTTCACTGGCAGACGACCCTACGGAGGAGAAAAAGGTCAGACGGTCAACACACAACAACATCCACACACTGCGAAACTCACATCTTTATCTGTACGAGACCCTCGTTAGCCTGAAATTTCATTAAGCCTCGAGCAGCCAATAATGATTGGGAATTAAATCCTGGTGGGACATATCGCCGAACTCTAATTTCCCGAAGGAGCCATTGTGGGGGTTTATAAATTGAGGCTAGTGGAGAAGATACAAGAGTCAATGGCATTTACAGTGCTAGATCCAATAGGAAGGGCTCCAAGTTCACAATCTCCTGGCTCACAGAGTTTTATTTAGACAGGGTTGAACTAGTGTAATTGAATCTAACCCCAGCCATTAATCAGTCATCAGTATCGCTCAATCTGGGCTTTGCTCGTTGTTTTAATAACGCCAAAGTATGTTTAAAATATTCATGGCCAGATCTTGGTGACCTTGATAAGAGCTAAGAAATAAATCAGGACTAAAGCAGAACTGGTGAGGTAAGTTGGGAAAAGTTGCTGTTTACGTTCACTTCCATACTGTAAAATCCAAGTCCTACCAGTTAAAGGTTGGCAGGCTAGTTTTTTTGGACATGGTAGCTGGTTTTCTACTAGCATGACCTAGATGGTCCATCAGGATTCAGTTGAATTTCCAACTGTTGAACCAGATCCACAAGCTGGAAACCCAATTGATCAACCATCTATACCATCTAACAACTGTAAATGACCAACTAGAATCGTGCACAAAAAGTGAATGTTTAATAAGTAAATACGGTCAATTTAACCGATCAGCTTCAACCCTAATTAAACTCCTGTACCAGCTAATCAAAGTCTTCGGGATTACTAGAAACTTCCAAGCAGGTGTTTTGGACAGTAGCACCTCATTGCGGTACACGAGATCCAGGGGGCGGAGTTGGATCCAGATCTAAGGGGTGGATATGGGTAGGATTTGGGGAGGGGTTAGGGATCAGGGGGCGGAGATGGGTAGGATTAGGGGGTGGTGTTAGGGATCAGGGGGCGGAGATGGATAGGATTGGGGGTGGGGTTAGGGATCAGGGGGTGGAGATGGATAGGATTGGGGGAGGGGTTAGGGATCAGGGGGCGGAGATGGATATGATTGGGGGTGGGGTTGGGGATCAGGGGGCGGAGATGGATAGTATTGGGGGTGGGGTTAGGGATCAGGGAGCAGAGATGGATAGGATTGGGGGTGGTGTTAGGGATCAGAGGCAGAGATGGGTAGGATTAAGGGTGGGGTTAGGGATCAGGGGCGGACATGGGTAGGATTAGGGGTGGGGTTAGGGATCAGGGGGTGGAGATGGGTAGGTTTAGGTATATGTAAGGTGGGAGGAGTTGGATCTGGATCCAACTCCTCCCCCTGGATTTCGTGTTCTGCAGTAAGGATGCTTGAGGAGTGGAGTTTGACACGTAAACTAGAATCATGCACAATAAGGAATGTTTATTTATTAAGTAAATAGCATCAATTTTAATTTCATGTTGATCTTATGTGAACATTGACCCAAATTTGACAAGGATTATAATGCTATCAGAATTCACACACTCTTTCACTGCCATGTCTGATGACCTAAACTCTTGGATGAGTGATTTACAGCCTAAACAAGCATCTATGATGGGCTAGAGGCTGGTATAATGGTGGGAATGAGAGTCAAAGCTATGCTAATGTGTTTAGGTTTGTCACTAACATTTCTTTCTCATGAGCTTGAACAACAAGCTTTGGAATAAGAGAAGAGGGCAGGGCCAAATAAGCAAAGAGCTGAAATCACTTTACACGCCGACTGCCTGGGAATCTGCAAATCATGCCAAGACTGGTGAGAGGAGGGGGGGATGTGACAGATAAACAGAGGGAAAAAAGGAGAAATGGAAGAGAGAAAAGGTGAGAGAACAAAGAAAGAGATGGCGGGAGGCTGAAAGAAACCAAGCCTGAATATAACTATATAAAGGATGATTCAAGACCCATTGAGACCTAAACTGGAGTTTAGCTTTTAGTGCATGTATATTGGATTTAAGGCCATTTATATGGTTGTGTACACTTAAACATTGATAACATTAACATTTAGTAGATGCTTTTCAAATTAACAGTATTTATTATCAGGAAAAATAGACCAAAAGCATGGAGAACTCCCAACTTTTGCCAAAATAAATTGCTTAAGAATAAAAATGTAGCAAGTAGCAAATTGCTGTGTGATTTAAATGCTATTGACCATTGCATAAAATAAAAAATACTATACACTACTTTTCAAAAAGTACAAGTGACTGCAAAGACATTTATAAAGTTAGACTTTTTAACTTTCTGAAAAATCCTGAAGAATGCATCCTGAAAATATTAAGCAACATTCATAATAATAAGAAATGATTTCTTTGCATCACAGGAATAAATTACTTTTTAAAACGTATTCAGATAGAAAACAGTTATTTTAAATGGTAATAATACTATTTTACTGTATTTATGATCAAATATGTGCAGCCTTTGTGATCATACGGTAGTGTGTGTGCTGCCTCAATCTTTTTCAACATCAACACAACAGATAGTCCATGACATGCATCTTTAAATACAGACAAAAGAATGCATACCGAGCAGAAAAGCAACAGGAAATGTGTTTAAAGGTAAAGAGGAGTGTCTCCTGACGAAACGAAACTCACGTTTGTGGTCTTTTTATAGTAATCTATATTGTGGACGTCTCTGGCCAGCCCAAAGTCTGCAATCTTCATAAAGTTGCTTTCTGTGACCAACACATTCCTGGCAGCCAGATCCCTGTGTATACACTGCCATAGAGATGGAGAAAGACAGAAATAACTTAAATCATCACAACTTCATCTTGGACGCAGAGTGAAAAAACACACACGCAGACACAAACAACACAGGAACGCTGAAGTACTTTAGGGATGAACCGCAGGGCAAATCCTGTGTGAGTGCGATAAGGCTCAGTGTGCATTCCAGACGGGAAGGCGAGCGTGATGACAGTTTAGTTAGCATGCTCGCGGTGAGAGCGTTGTCACCGGCTTACAAAGTCGTGCACGTCTGCTGTGATTCGTTCATTGACCGTTTGAAAAATGTTTGGACGATGCATGAATCTGATTGGACGGCTGAACGCTCGTGCATGTAAGAATTAACTGCATTAAAAATGATTCTTATATATTCATCTTTTGGATTTCAAGTCTATAAATAGTTAAGCAAGAATTTGTCACATATATATATATATATATTTGGGCTGTGCAAAAATTAATTGCGATTAATCGCATCCAAAATAAAAGTCTGTGTTTACATAATATATTTGTGTGTGCTGTATATAATTATTTTGTATATATAAATACCTATGCATGCATTTATATATTTAAGAATTATTTGCGCTTAAATTCTGTATATATACAGTATATATAAATACATAATCTATATTATATAAATATAAATATTTTATATATGAATAACACTTTTTTTTAAAAATATATACATGCATGTGTGTGTATTTATATATACAAAATAATTATATACAGCACACACAAATATATTATGTAAACACAGACTTTTATTTTGGATGCGATTAATCGCAATTAATTTTTGCACAGCCCTAATATATATATATATATATTTATAAATGATATTTGTATATGGTGTGTATGTGCTTATACCTTCTGTGAGGCTAAATACTCCATGCCACGGGCTACTTGATAAGTGCAGGAGATCAGATCTTTGAAGGTGAGAGGCTCATCTGATACTCGGGCGATATCATACGAGTACTCCATTCCTGGGGGCCGCCGGGCCCTCAAATACTCCCGAAGGTTACCCTTAGATGCGTACTCTACTATGACATATAATGGACCTGAGAGAGAGAGAGAGAGAGAGAGAGAGAGAGAGGTGAGAACCCTGTAAAGCCTGACAGATGAAATCATAAGCAGAAAAATCATATTTTTGACAGGTTTATTGAACCTCTTGACGAAATATAAAAAGTAATAAAAAGTTTGCATATGTGTTTTTTGTAGAGTATCATATTCGATACATCAGGCTTTTATTGCTCATCTAATATGATAAAGTGAGAATATGAAGCTCACAGAATTTTATTCAAAGGCCAAAACTGAGCAAAAATATGCAGTAGCTGATATTTATATGACCAAAAAGAAAGAGGAAATTGTGAAATTGTGAGATCTACTTACATAAAATGCATATGCATATCAATTGTCACTCTATATATCCCAATGATATTTTATGATCAAATGTCTGTAGTTTTTATTGTGGTGTTTAAACATATAATGCAATACAATGATGATTAAGGGATGAACGACTAAACGTTCCTGATGGATCATATTTAAGACTCATTAAATTAAAAAAAAAATTGTGTATAAATGATTAAGTAAACTTAAGTTGCTTCAGTCCAGTTAAGTGTTAATCTTGAAATAGTATGAACAAGTTTTTAATGTTTACTTTATAAATAGATATCAGATTCTTCAGAAGACAGAAGGCGTGTAGAAAATTATGTACATCCGGCTTTTCAGCAAAGTTTTGATCGTGTTGATAATTTAGAGGCCTTAGAAATGAAAGTATCAAATATGATAGAGAAGGCTAGGGTTAAAACCAATCCCTCACCGTCCTGTGTACACGCTCCCAACAGATTGATGATGTTCTTGTGCCGGCCAATCATCTTCATCATCTCCATCTCTGACACCAGGTCAGAAAGATCTTTCTCTGTTGCATCATCTAGAAAAGTTCAAAAAGAAAGAAAATTTACATGTAAAATACATTTTGCCTAATAATAAAAACCCAATAATTCGCTTGATTTGGAAAAATCCTTAAAGGAGTAGTTCACTTTTTAAAAAAATCTTTTGCTGATAATTTACTCATCCAAGATGTCCATGTCTTTCTTCTTCAGTTGAAGTTTTTGATGAAAACATTCCAGGATTTTTCTCCATATAATGGACTTCAATGGGGTCCAAACGGTTGAAGGTCCAAATGAGAGTTTCAGTGCAGCTTCAAAGGGCTTTAAACGATTACAGGCGATGAATAAGGGTCTTATCTAGCGAAACGAGCGGTTATTTCAAAAATAAATAAAAAACTTTAAGTTTTATAAGCACAAATGCTCGCCTTGCTCTGTTCTGTGATGCGCTCTCCTGTTCGAACTCGTTCATCAAAATGAACGAATCTTTTTGAGTAATTTGGTTCATTCAACAAACGAAATGAACGAAAAAAGATTCACAATTCAGTCACGAACGCGTCTGGTGTCGTTTAAAGCCCTTTGAAGCTGCACTGAAACTCTCATTTGGACCATGAACCGTTTGGACCCCATTGAAGTCCATTATATAGAGAAAAATCCTGGAAAAGACATGGACATCTTGGATGACATGGGGGTGAGTGAATTATCAGCAAAAGTTTTTTTTTAAAGTGAACTACTCCTTTAATAAATCCTGTTAGTTTTTCCCTGTTTTCTGCGCACTAAAGCCCACAAGTGACTGAGACTGTACGGCTGTGTTCTGATTTTAACACTAGACAGTATATACTGTATTCGGTAAATAAAACTGTTTTTATTTTTTGTAATCATCTTAATATTTGGCACATGAAATGGCCAATGCAATTGTGCAAGAGTGTATACTGTAGAATATTATATTCCTATACATAAAGCAAAAGTAGTATGAGTAGTATGCAGGTATGTCATACATGCCAGCACTCCCTGTGTGAGCAGTTTGGCTGGACTGTCTGTCTGTGTCCCAGTGTAACTGTCTGTCTGTGTGGTTTAGTGTTACACTGAAGAGCCGCCACACAGCTCTCCTTTCATTGCCTCACAATTAAAAAGCGTTTCTTCCATTTAGAGTAATTACCTTAGAGACAGTGGCCTTTTCATTATCTGCCTGCTGATCACTGGAGCGAACCCGACACAATCCACTGACCGCCATTCCTGTCTTATCTTACTCCAGTTTCTTCTCCTAAAAATCGCTGTACACTCTTCCATCCATGAACGTTTCAAAGCCTTCTCTAAAAATGGTGATTTCATGAACTGAGATTCGTTTCGATATTTTACAGTGGCTCAAATTTTTTTTTTTGCATATTTTATTTTAGTATTGTTCATATACTGTATATTAGGGCTGTCAAACGATTAATCGCGATTAATCGCATCCAAAATAAAAGTTTGTGTTGACATAATATATGTGGGTGAACTGTGAATAATTATTTTGTATATATAAATACACACACATGCATGTATATTTAAGAAAAAAAATATTATTTATATAAAAAATATTTATATTTACATATCCTATGAATTATATATAAATCTATATACAGTAAATACATGAAAATATTTCTTAAATATATACAAGCATGTGTGGCTATTTATATATAAAATAATGATTCGTTATGATACACAGTGCACCCACATATATTATGTAAACACAAACTTTTATTTTGGATGCGATTAATCGTTTGACAGCCCTAATATATATTTATTAACACCTTTCATATTTATATTTACAGTTCTCATTTTAGTAGAAGATTTAATCGTTTTGTAATGTGCTTTTGGTAGCACTTTAATTTAGGGTTCAATTCTCACTATTAACTAGTTGCCGAACTAAACCAAAACTAGTTGTTTTTTGTAAATATTTCTATGTTGCATTAATTTATTTTAATATATTCCATTTAACGAAAACAATTTGTCATCGATTTTTCATCATTTACTAACTCGCATGTTCTGTACCTCCTTTCTTCTGTGGAAAGCAGAAGATATTTTGAAGTACCCACCATCTTTTTTGGCCCATACAATGAAAGTCAATGGGGTCCAAAACAACACCACTGACATTCACTGTATGGCCAAATCAAAAAACACATAGACATTCTGTTCGTTGTGTTCCACAAAAGGAAGAAATGTATAAGGACTTTTACAACATCATTGAATAATGACAGAATGTATATTTTTGAGTGAACTATCCCTTTAATTTGGTGTTTTCTGGGGCCGTAATTAAGCCAGGTGTAAGCGGCAAACAGGCTCTTGTTTCAAGTGTTTTCTGCACTGCAGCCCTGCCCCCTCAGCTCTTTCTCCATCCTTTAAAACTTCTTTTGAGACGCTTGCCCCCTCCCCCACTCTCTTTTCTTTCTTTCTTTCTTTCTTTCTTTCTTTGTGCAGGTGAAGAGCGAGAGCTGTGCAGCTGGAGAGCGCCGGGTCAGCTATGCGGCCTCTTGACCCGAGCTCTACCAACATCACTCGGCACCATCAAATAACCCTGCGCAGGCCTCTACAGTAACACTTTCTCCCCGTCTCAACATGTGCACATTCTCAGATCATAACAATACATGAACTAGTCTGGCTCATTTGCTAGTTTTTAAAATGTGCACCCAATCAAAACACTCCCATCGTTTTTATATCGATCTGGATTTTTAATGTTTGGCCAGTTTGTGATAAATGTGACTAGAAGTGTCTGCTCCAAAATCACTTAAACATCAATATACAATCACATTTATTATGTCTAAAAAATATTTTAAAAAGTTATTGTTAAAGGAGTTCACTTTTAAAAACAAACTTTTGCTGATAATTTACTCACCCCCAAAAGTTGAAAGGTTTTTGATGAAAATATTCCAGGATTTTTCTCCATATAATGGACTTCACTGGGAACCAAACGGTTCAAAGTACAAAAGACAGTTTCAGTGCAAATTGACCATTTCAGCTTATAAAACTTAAACTTTTTTTTTTTTAATGATCGATTTTTTTGCTAGATAAGACCCTTATTCATCGTCTGGTGTCGTTTAAAGCCCTTTGAAGCTGCACTGAAACTCTCATTTGGACCTTGAACCGTTTGGACCCCATTGAAGTCCATTATATGGAGAAAATCCTGGAATGTTTTCATCAAAAACCTTCATTTCTTTTTGACTGAAGAAAGAAAAACGTGGACATCTTGGATGACATGGGGTGAGTAAATTATCAGCAAAAGTTTTTTTTTTTTAAAGTGAACTACTCCTTTAAGGTACAATTAAATGTTATTTAAATTGACAACATAATTAGCAAATTATTATACGTATGTGCAGTGCTGGTCAGAATTATTTGCCCTCTTGGTAAATTTGATCAAATATGGCTGTAAAAAATAAATCTACATCGATTATCCTTTTATTATTTATAATATTTAAATTACATATAATATATACATATATCATGGGATATATATATAAATGGTAAAAATGAGTACAATCATTTATAAATATATATATAAACTAATGAAATAAATATAAATTAATTGTATATATAATTAAATGAAATATATATATATATATATATATTCATAATTTAATGAAATTGACTTAATCAGATACTGATATCTAGAGCTCAAACTGTCAAATAATCAGTGTATGAATTTCTATATGGATACCTGATGTTCTGAATCATAAATGCTGATAAACAAGTGTTATGATGATGCTTCAGGGAGTTGTCTTTGCGTGTCGCCGGGATCATAACACACTGCTGTTTTTGTTGAAAAATGTCCAGTTTTTTGACTGATATTTAAGCCTCATATGGTCCATATGACAATATTATTCAGTCTGTGTTGTGCTCTGCCTGTCAGTCTGGTGTTTTTGTAAAGACTTTTTAGCTGTTTTAGCAAACGCCTGGTCTGGACAGGCACACATCATTAGAGCTTTCTTGACATGTTTGCTTACCTTCATCTTCGAAAACTTTGCTTTTCTTTGAACACCCCACTCTGTCTTCTGCATTATACAGTCTAAAAGAGCCGAGTTGTTCTGCAGAAGATCACATGTGAATTTTATCTGTCTGCTGAGCTGGTGTGATTTGTAGCCTGTATCTGCTGGGCTTTGATCTTTCACTTATGTACCATCCATATCTCAACTAGTAGTTTAGTGATTCACAACATCAGAGAGCTAGCTCCCTTGTAAAAAGCCATTCGAACCATTTGAAAGGTGACGCCCGCATCAATTTATGAGCTGATGAGGTTAAATGTCAAGTAATTCCCACCATCCCACATCTGATGAAACCATGAGTGGAGAAATGTTTTCAAATCAATTTAAATAAATGCTCTCCAAAGGCCTAGATGAGTAACAACATTCAGATGCAGTTCACATGCAAGCAAACTAAGTGTAAATGTGGACTATAAGGATGCTCAACAGGGTGTGCGGTTTTACTCATGTAGAAACTAATCCATAAACTCTTACTTTTCAGCATCTTGACAGCCACCGTCACGGCCTCTTTAGGTTTGTCCTTGTCGATGCCGAGAGCTTCAGCCATCACGACCTGCCCAAAGCAGCCCTCGCCAAGCGGTTTACCCAGAGTTAACCTGCACAAACAAACCAAAGACCACAAACATTACTGAGAAATGCTCATTTACACACTCACTTCAACCCAACCATGTAGATGTGCTTATAAATGCTGTCTAAGGTCACTAGGTTTAGAGACATCGCCAAGGCCTGTCTCTATTTATCAGATGCAAGCATTCGCGACATTTAACCGCATATCAGAGTTGCGTGTGCATGTGTTGTGTTTACTTAACTCGTAGGTGTTAAGTGGATGCCCTTTGCCTTCCATTGCAAAGCTTACATTAGACATTAGCGAGTGTGACAGCTGAATGTCTGGCTGGGAGATCTAGAGTTACACTCCTCTGGGGTGAGTAACAATATGCCTTTGGGGATTTAGAGACTTTCTTAGAGTGTGTAAGAGAGGGATGGATAGCAGGGTTAACACTTGACTAGCGTGCTCTGGTCAAGTGCAAAAAAGATTAGAGCATGTGTTATATAAGAGAGTGTTGTAACTTATCCATCAATTAGGAGACTCACACCTTTTTTTTAAAGGGGTAAAGTGTATTATTACACTTGTTCAACCAAACTAGTAGTCCTAAAAAAATGCCAATGATAAAGTCGTTGTCGGGTGATCAAAAACACTGTAATTGTGTTCAGCGCCGACTTGCATCCACGCACATTCACCTAGCCATCAAAATTTTGACTTAGCATTGAAATTTCATGTAAATAACATGGTTTATTTGCAATCAGTCCATATTATTTTATTCATGGTTTTAGAGCATTAAAGGACTTTAAAAAAAAACTTTTGCTGATAATTTACTCACCCCATGTCATCCAAGATATCCATGTCTTTAAAAGAAATTAAGGTTTTTGATGAAAACATTCCAGGATTTTCTCCATATAATGGACTTCAATGGGGTCCAAACGGTTCAAGGTCCAAATGAGAGTTTCAGTGCAGCTTCAAAGGGCTTTAAACGACACCAGACGATGAATAAGGGTCTTATCTAGGACCCTTCGAGTCATGACTCGAAAAAATATTTGTTCATTTTGATGGACGAGTTCGAACAGGAGAGTCACGAACGCTCATCACAGAACAGAGCAAGGCGAGCATTTGAGCTTATAAAACTTAAACTTTGTTATTTATTTTTGAAATGAGCGATCGTTTCGCTAGATAAGACCCTTATTCATCGTCTGGTGTTGTTTAAAGCCCTTTGAAGCTGCACTGAAACTCTAATTTGGACCTTGAACCGTTTGGTTCCCATTGAAGTCCATTATATGGAGAAAATCCTGGAATGTTTTCATCAAAAACCTTAATTTCTTTTCGACTGAAGAAAGAAAGACGTGGACATCTTGGATGACATGGGGGTGAGTAAATTATCAGCAAAAGTTTTTTTTAAAAGTGAACTACTTCTCTTCCAGCTAGTATAAAGGGCATATGAAAAATAAAAATCGCTAGTTAATACCACTAACAAGGCTCAAAATAGCCTCACACTAACACAGTAACATCATGAGGGTCCCTACATGAAAAACAAAGCATTGCGAACTTTGTAAGTGTACAGACCGTTTAATAAGACTGGAGGCAGGAACAGGCAGGAGCCATCTTGGAAAACTTCTGAACTGTATGAATGCCTTTCGTGGTTCGACTTGTCGAGATTCCATCTTTCCAAGATGGCTCCTGCCTGTATACACGAAGTGGACTGTCTTCATAAAATATCTTCTTATTAAACGGTCTGTACACTTACAAAGTTCTCAATGCTTCGGTTTTCATGTAGGGACCCTCATTGAGTTACCATGTTAGTGTGGCTATTTTGAGCCTTGTTAGTGGTATTAACTAGCGATTTTTATTTTCCATTACTCTATGCCCTTATATACTAGCTATATACTATGTAAGAGATAAAACTCTTTACATTCGATTATCATGAAAACAAATGACGCCGGAGTTGTCCTTAAAAACGGATCATTTCAGACAGAGGGTCAGCATGAAGGTTGAAACACTTTGGTAACACTTTATTTAAAGAGGTGTGCATAAGACTGTCATGACACTGTCATAAACATGACATAACACCTGTCATGAGCATGAAGGAGTCTTTATGAATGTTTATGACTGTTGTCATTAAGTGTCATTCAAATAATGACACTTTAAATGCAAAGTTGACATTGTTAAAAATGTCTTTGTTATGACAACTTGACATTAACCAAGAAATCAACAGGTCTAATGATCAGACTTAAAGAAGTTATTTAGCTTTGTGTTAACATTACATTACCCTGTCCCGTTCATATGTTATGGTTGGTTTTAACTTTGCTTGTCATGACACCATTATAACTGTGACATGAATATTTTACTTGTCCTCAAGTAAAGTGGAACACATTGTACTAGTTATAAAGATGGCATTAAGGGTTATTACACTGTCAAATGCTTTAACAACAGTGTCATTAATATTTCCCCTTATCTCAAGTAAAGTGGAACACGTTGGACTAGTTATGATTTCTTGGTTAATGTCAAGTTGTCATAACAAAGACATTTTTAACAATGTCCACTTTGCATTAAAAGTGTCATAATTTACCGAATGGCACTTAATGACAACAGTCATAAACATTCATAAAGACTCCTTCATGTTCATGACAGGTGTTATGTCATGTTTATGACAGTGTCATGACAGTCTTATCTACACCCATTCAAATAAAGTGTTACCAGATTTGTTTTTCCACATATTTGTTTGTTGTGTGTGTGTGTGTGTGTGTGTGCAAAAACCTTTATTAACATTATAAGTGAACCTTAAAATAATAAAAATAATCATTACCATAGTCATTTTTTGGAAAGACATCGATTCTAAATTATTTGCCATTTTTCAGCAAATTTGTTCCCTGATTAGATCTCGTTCGGAAATAAACACACCCTCACACATTTCATCTTCATCCCTCACGGTCACCGTGACATCTGACCTCTTGCCCTGCCATTGGCCCTCAGTCAACCTCTGATTGGCAGGTGCTGGGTCTGTCCCCGGCCCCCTCCACCACTGGGCTATGTAAACAGTCACACCCGCACCAGGGCCCGGGGCCGATCTGTGGCTATGATAACACAATCCCCCTCTGTGCCGAATGCTCAATGGCGGCCTCTGTCTACTCCAGCCCACCACAGATAATCAATGTTATGTTTATCCTCATTCCTCAGTTTTCTGCATGCCATGCGCCCCGGGGCACGTCAAGAAAAAACTCAATGAGGTAACTAACTCAATAGCTTAAACTTTTTGCTAAGAGCGTATTGCAGGAATGCACTGAGTTCAGCTAATATCAAGTAAATTAAAAAAAAATGGGTTTCTAAAAAATCTTTTCTTTCAAAGATTTGCGTCCCTCACAAAAATTCAGTACGTGTCTTAGCTTGTATGCCCAAGAGCAACAATTCCTTTACTGGGTGGGAAAGAGGTTCATTAAATGGAGCCTCCCTTCACCTATAGAATACCAATATCAGTCATTAGCTGTGTACATGAAAGGACTCTTATCTTCTGTATGATGGACATAACAATCCTACAGAAGAAATGAGTGACTCAACCTGTATTTGTTGAGTTTCCACCATTAATTTAATAAATAAAAGACTTGGTTATAGTTTGGAGTTGAATAATAGCATGTTCATGTCTCTCAAACTGCTTACAAATCATCCTTGAGACAACCAAAGTACAAATAGACTCCTTTTAAACCACCATGTTCATGACAGATTGCTTTCTTAGTCATTCATTAGAAATCTGTAAGGTTTTGGCAACATGATAGTGGACCCATTGTAGTGATGCCGGAAGCATTTCAGCATGGCAATTAAACATTAATCTGTAAGTCTGAGTTTGTCTAGTCGGGTCACAGTGTCAGAACATATCAACATCCGAACCCAAAACTGTTTAAATCTTCCAGAAAAATTTGACAAAAATAACATTTCTGCAAGAATAATGGTCTAATAATGGAATGAGGGTGACGGACGGAGGCCTGTGTTGTGTTATTAATGATTGATTGTACATTGTGCCTGCATAAGTCACAGGTTAATAATTAGACATAATGGGATTGTGAGTGTATCAGAAGATTAGTTTCACATCACAGTGATTTATAAGTGAAAAAGATGCAAGATTATACTAAATGCTCACTTGTCTCTTGAGAACTCCCAGCGCGGGTCCTCAGGGAGGTCATACTCTGGGATGGGGTCGTCGTGGGCGGAGCTACGGCGAGTGGTGATTCTGACCAATGGCGTGCTAGAGCTCATGGAGGAGCTGGAGTCAGAGGACACCTGTATGGGAAAAGACGGATGGCTGATCACCTGAGTCTTGGAGACAGAACCACAACAGCTACATGTGTATGTATGTGTATGTGTGTGTGCGCACATTTAGCCGATTAACATCATCATTATAGTATGTAAAATCTTTTTTAAGCACAAAATCTAAGGTATCAGGCTCTGTTTAAAATAACTTTACCTAAAAGCCATGCAGTTTGTGTAGTTAGGTTTCTCAACATGTCATATATTTGTACAAAAATATGTGAGAAATGTCATTTTTTTTAAATAATGTTTCCAACTTACCACCATATAGAATACCTTCAACTTCTCAACAAAAGAATTTGACAAGTTATTCAGTAACTTACAACATTTAAGTTATCATACAACGTTACCACTGTACTAAACTTGAAATGAACAACAACTACTAACAGTGCTATACACTATATATATATATAAATGAAAATAAATAAAATGCAAAATAATTTGTATAATTATCTAAATCTTAATTATTTTATACAATATATGATGTATATCATGTATAAGTTAACAATGTAAATTATATACATACACTCTTAGAAGAAAATGTTCTATATAGAACCTTAAAGGGTATCTATTTTATGGAATTTTTAAAATTAATTTTGTTTTAATCCATTTTGTATTACATTTTATGAATTAAGCAGCTTGTAAATATACTTTATCAGAAGAAAAAAATTGACCCATTAAACATGATAATACTTTGCAATCATTTAAGTCAAGTCAAATTTATTTATATAGCGCTTTTCACAATACAGATTGTATCAAAGCAGCTTCACAGTGATGAATGAAAGTAGTACAACACAGATCAATAATATTGTTAAATAGTAAATATTAAATATCCCCAACTGAGCAAGCTAGAGCAAGGCAACAGTGGAACCATATATATTTAAGATATATATCCATATAGAGAAACTTTTTTGGTTCTATATAGAATCCCATTTAACCTTTTTTTTTTCAGAGAGTGTACTTTAAAATGTGTACTCTGGTGCAATTACTCTGTACTCATTGTCCCTGTGAAAATAAACAATAAAGTGAAGTAAAGTAAGTAAAATAAGAGGTTGGTTCGAATCACTAAACATAAACCTGTCCTAACTACATATTCCAAAGACAAATCATTCTTCTATTAGTGTGAGTGTATGTGTGTATAAGATTTCTAGAACTCTTTATCTACTTTCTGTTACCTGGCGGCGCAGAGGGATCTGTTTGGTCAGCTTGTGCACCGCCGGCTGACTCCCGAAATCAGGCTTCTTAGCCGACGTCCTCATTCGGCACACCACCACGATCACCACCATACAGGCGATGAGAAAGACGCCTATGCAGTAGATGGCGATCTCCACATAGTCGGGAGGGTAGTCCGTCTCGATGGCGTCTGGCTCGGCTGTAGAGTAGCGAGAAGGATCGGAGAGAGTTGGACTGAGACGTGAGGCAACAAACCAAAAAGGATTGAGGTGAGGGGAAAACCTTAATGTTGGACACAGCGCAGATTTAAGATGCTGATGAAGGACATTAAGGTTCCAGGGCAAAAAGAGGAAAAGGTGTAGGTGACTAAGGATGAACCACACACACACACATTTGACACACCAATCAATTTTCACTCTCTGACTCTATAACTATAAAAAAAAAAACGTCTGCAAATATCTTTCCTTCCAAGTTTGTAGCAATAAATACCTAATATATGAAACTCTTTTCATTTAAATATCAACTTCAGTAAGAGTATAAAGCTATAAAATGAACGTGAACAGCAGTTCAGTTCATGGTCTTGTCCTAATTAGATCTCCATTTAATAACACAGATATTAAAGAGATCTCCTTTCTTTCCATCACAGCATATTTCCTGACACTCAATGGCCCCTGCGAACATGCTTACAAAATGGTTTGCATATGACCACAGTATTGAAGTACTACTGAGGTCCTTTAGAAATACACACTCCATGGATACAATCACACACACACACACTCAGATTTCTATCTGTCTGACCGCAGACCAGTAAGTGGTGCCATTTGCGGTCAAAGATTTTGTCTGTTTCCTTGTCAGGAAATGGACTCTTAATATAATGCAACGCTGTTGCATTATGCATGTTAGCGTGCACACTTTACACTGCCTTGCACATGACGACAGATAGCCTTTGTGTTTCTAAAACTAAGAAACAGTTGACTAATATTTAGTTAAACCTGCCCAAAATGTGTGGACATGTACTAAATGAAAGTCTGTCACATTTAGATACACACTCAAATACATACACACACACACACACACACACACACTGTGGTTGTAAGTGGCTCTAATAACTAAGAAAGTCCAGCATTTTGAGAAGGCAAGCAAATATTGAGACTTTCTTTAGAGAACAAAGCAGTTATTAGAGCTGAAAGAGAAAAACACTTTGAAGGATAAGAATAGACCACCTAAAAATCAACATTTTATCATCATTAACAGTTGCATGTGTTTTTTGACTCTTTCTTCAATACAGAACATATCCTATATCATATCTAGGGCTGGGTATAGTTAAAAAAAATTTCCATACCGATACCGATACCTTGATTTCGATACCGGTTCCTGAACGATACTTTTTCCGATACCAAATTTATCAAATCCATTTTAACAAGATTACAAAACACATTACCTCAGAAAACCTTTGGTTTTATTATTATTTTTTTTTCAGTTTGACTCATGCTCCTTAGCCAGTGCATAAAGGAACGTTTTTTTTTTTTTATTTTGTGTCGTTCTGCATTTCACATGTATTTGTTTGAGTACTGATTTAAGGAGTTAACCCCTTAGGTATCGAAATCTGGTATCGAACAAGAAGTCATTTTTCGATACTCGATAGTATCGAGGCAATTCGGTCGGTACCTAAAAAGTATCGAACTCGGTACCCAGCCCTAATCATATCCCATATCATTCACACTTGCACAAATTCTTTCATTATCTGGAACAAAAATGTTGTTCCACTGAAGAAAGTCAGTCATACATTAAACAACATGAAAGAGAGTAAATGATGACAGAATTTGAATTTCAGATGAACTATTCCTTCAAAACAAGTCTTTCCAAACATGCAACCAGTGAAATGTTAGTTGGGAAGAGAATTTTTATAAATAAGGATCTCGAGACACTTGGACGCAGTTTTAGATATTTGTAAAGATTATATATATACATTTGATGACCAAATAAATTACGATGCTGAACATTTTAAACGTTCAATAATAAAGATTGTAAAATTTGTAGTAAAATGGCTGAATGGGTAATTATCGTTAACTAAAACTAAAATCATAAAAGAATCTCTTATAACAAAATAAACATTAACTGAAACCAATATATATATATATATATATATATATATATATACATAGTCAAAATTTCTAATTTTCTTTAAGTTAAAATTTAAGTAATAAAATAACTAAAACAATTTTTTTAAAATAATGACAAAAACACAACAAAATTACTAAAAGTAGCTAAAATTATTATAAAATTATCTTCATGTGGCGTTAAAAAATTATCGAATTATTTAATTTTTTTATTTCAATGAAATGAATGTACTATTTTAGTGCAATAATGCGATAAATCTTGAAAGCTTTGGAGAACAGACTTAAGTTTGGTCTCTTTACAAAGACAACACTTGGCAAATTATGGCCGAAGTGAAAAATGTTTAAAAAAGTGAAAAAGTGATACAATTTTACGTTTATTGTTATGAAAATTTGACGTTTATTGTTATGAAAATTTGACGTTTATTGTTATGAAAATTGCACAAAAATACTATTTTCAATGTTTATAGGTAATATACATTTTCCAAAACACGTTTTACCCAAAAACTGGTTGCGTGCCAAATTTGAGCTTGATATCTCAAAAAAATGAGATTTTGTTTGGGCACAGTACCAAAAGTTTCCAACTAAATGAAATTACTGTATTTTCCCATTCAATTTTGACAGCAAGAAATATAAGCGTGACTATTTTTTTCAGGACCATTCAACCTTTTCAAATCATATCCATGCTATTTTGTGTGTGTGTTCACGTAGCAAGTATACAATTCCGATCAAAAAAAATTGTTTTTGAGCTCCAGAGGGTAAGTGAAAACAGAATTCAAAATATTAACAATAACTACAATCCTAAGGTAACACCGTCCAAAGTGCCTCATGTTTCCTCTCAAAGAACGTTGGTGCGACATCAACCAACATCGACATAAAAGAAGTGTGTGAGAAGCAGTAGAGGACGAGTGTATACCTGGAAGCACCGTCAACCAAGCAGTGTGATAGGAGATCCCAATAGAGTTACCCGCCAAGCATGTATACTCGCCCGCATCCTCGAAAGTTACATTAGACAGGTAGAGCACCTCGATCTCTTTGTCCGTAGTGTTCACACCTGCCGTCTGAGAGAAACAAAGGAGGAAACGCAGGAGAAGAAGAAGATAGGGAGATACAAGAAAGGGTGGAAGTGGAGGAAAGAAAGAAGACAAGAAACAAATCAGACCCAAAATACCAAGAAGAGAACAGGAGGTCGTATTTCCCATCTACGCATTACAGAAATGGTAGATGTCCCACTTCGTTAGAGAAGAATATCAAACATGAACAGCAGGGGGAAAAAAACACAGTCGAAAACCTCACAGGTGAACCCACCAGATCCTCAAGGGTCCATGCAAACTCAAGTGAAGAAACATGGAAAACAAGCCACTGCCTTTCGGAAAGAAACATTAGAGCGAGAGACTAAAGACCAGTGACAAAGGAAAGGGGAAAACAGACATGGGAAACTGAAGGACAGACCAAAGGCTTGTTTCCATGTCTGATTGGCTGGATGGCACCAGGAAAGATCCACCAAAACAAAAAAATACACCAGACCACACCACTACGGCTCAGCGGGAATCCCATGATCACCAGGACGACAAAAAAACAACAACCCAAAACACCAGCAGAGGGGGAAGGGACGTCTCGTTCTTGGTTTTACCTGGTAGGACAGTGAGCCAACCGGACTGGCTGACCTGACCAATATAATTGGACACCTGGCACGTATATTGACCAGAGTCCTCTTCCGTAACATTGTTGAGCAAGAGCACTTCCACGTCCGAGCTGTTTATGCCCGAGCGCTAGAAGGTGCACACATATGGGAGCTTGTTACAATCTCTCGCACTCTTCAGGAAGGATAGGAGAGCGGAAAAGGAGGGAGCACCACCCATTACATGGCATGAGAAAAACAAGGATAGCTGCTGCTTTCGTTTTTGCAAAAAACATCTGAAAATGAAAGCGTTCTTGTTTCCGAAAAAAGACTAACGAGCCTACCTTTAACACCCGGACAAAGGGGAGTCCGTCGGGACCGTAACGGCTGCCGTTGTTCATGATGTGCTTCAGCCACTGGATGTGAGGCTGAGCGTCACTGTAAACTTTACAGACGAACCGTGCTTCGCCTCCGACATGAACGGTGATGTTGGCCGGCAGGCCTGCCTGGAGAATGGGCCGGTGAGGAGATCGTTCTGATTAAAATGAGAGACGAATGAGAATTATTAGATGAATATTTACCATGTACGCTACTGTTTAGGGTCATTTAAAAAAAAAAAAAAAAGTCTCTTATGCTCAAACATTTGGTATTGTGAAATATTATTACAGTTTAAAAGCATCATTACTCTAGTCTTCAGTGTCACATGATCCTTCAGAAATCAATCTAATATGCTGATTTGCTGCTCAAGAAACTGCAATTGAGATTATTTTCAATGTTGATAACAGTGGCGCTTCTTAAAGGAGTAGTTCACTTTTAAAAAACACTTTTGCTGATAATTTACTCACCCCCATGTCATACAAGATGTCCATGTCTTTCTTTCGTCAGTCGAAAAGAAATTAATTTTTTTCGGATTTTTCTCCATATAATGGAGTTCAATGGGAACCAAACGGTTCAAGGTCCAAAAGACAGTTTCAGTGCAAACTACAAACTGTTCAAAGGGCTTCAAACGATTCCAGGCGGGTCGTATCAAGCGAAACGATCGCTCATTTAAAAAAAAACAAACAAAGTTTAAGTTTTATAAGCTCAAATGGTCACCTTGCTCTGTTCTGTGATGCACGTGTGCACGTTTATCAAAATGAACAAATCTTTTTTGTGTCATTTGGTTCATTCAACGAACGAAATGAACGAGTTGACTCGGGAAAAGATTCGTTCATTTTGATGAACGAGTTCAAATAGGAGAGTCACGAACGCGAATCACACCCTAACCCTAACAGAGCAAGGAGACCATTTGAGCTTATTAAACTTAAACTTTCTTATTTTTTTTTTTTAAATGAGCGATGGTTTCGCTTGATAAGACCCTTATTCATCGCCTGGAATCGTTTAAAGCCCTTTAGCAGTTTGCAGTTTGCACTTAAACTGTCTTTTGAACCCTAAAACCGTTTGGTTCCCATTGAAGTGCATTATATGGAGAAAAATCCTGGAATGTTTTCATCAAAAACCTTAATTTCTTTTCGACTGAAGAAAGAAGGACATGGACATCTTGGAGTGAGCAAATTATCAGCAAGTTTGACTCAATTTTGAAACAGCTTTAAATTCCCATGTCTAGTTAGGAACCTTACACGCTTTTGGAACAGAACATAATTATATTAATCTTTTTTTCAAAACTTTTATTAAAAATCAGTCAGTGGTTGCAAAAAAGTCATTGAAGGTATACGTGAACGTTTGTCATTCAGATCACCACACCTAATGTCCTATCAGGCTGCTGTTAAGACTTCACAAAACAGAGGCTGTTGCATTATCTCAGCAGATAAGGACTGAGCAAACACAGATGAAGAAAGGCGAAGTGGGGGGGAAATAAGACAGATGTCCCAGTGTCCACCGCATATCAGTTGCGGTTCCGGGTCTATCAGGAACATTCTCGTTTGTCATTTCATTCCCTTTTCCCTGAGATATGAACAGACATGATTTTTGTTGATGAGTAAACTAAACTTAAAATTAAATTAGTTAAAACACTTGGTAGTGAGGCTTTCTATTAATAGGACACTCACTTTTCCTTGTCCTTGTGGAGACATTTTTGGAACAGCTTTTAAATCATACAAAGTGATGTTTTTGGAAAAGGTAAACATGCAGAAAGTGTGATGGGTAGGTTTAGAGGTAAGGTCAGTTTAAGGGGATAGACTACACAGTTTGTATAATATATCAATCATTATGTCTATGGAAAATCCCCATGAAACATGGAAACACAACAGAGTGTTTGTGTGTATGTACAAACTTTTTGTTAGAAGTTTTTATTTGTATTTTTTTAGACATTTAAGTAACTTTTAGTAATTTAGTTGTGTGTCTTTGTCATTCCTTGGCAACTAGCTGAAATAAAATAAATGTATGTATATGTTTTATTGTTATGTTAATATTTTATTTTATTTCAAGTAACAAAAATGGTTTTAGTTTTGGTTAACTATAATAATCCTGCTTTGGATACCTACCGAATCACTTTTTCCAAAGAAAAAAAAAGAAAATCTGAAACTAAACAGACTAAACCACATTACTAACACACCTCACCGTCTTCACAACACAACAATACTCTGGCCCTGTAATTCTGACGCGTCTCCTGGTTACCCCGACATACACAGACACACAGGCATGATGTCACACAGGAGATGTGGAGAGGTCAGCCTTCACAGACATGCAGCGAAGGTTTACGGGGGATGTAAGAGGATTTAGGACTGAGGGGCACAAGAGGGGGCACAAGAAAAGCTCAAAACAATGGAGCAAAGCAGAAAGAGAAAAACAGAGAGGGCTGGGGTTAAAGGGATGCAGAGTATAAAAGATGCCCAACAGATGGGCAGTGAAAAGAAAAGACAGACAGATGAAGAAGAACAGATGAGAAACACAAATTCAGACAGAAAGTCTTCATTTGGAGTTGCTAGCAAGTGTTTTAGATTGATTGTGTGTACTAAGTAACTTTTCCTTTGCGGTCGCCCCCTACAGGTTGGAAGCGGAATTGTCCATTACCGCTGTCGTAAATAATTTATCCTAGCGCATCCTACTGTCGCACGCACGCTCGCTGTTTATCTAGCAACAGCTTTGGAATGAACGATGTCCACAGACAAGGTAGATTGCATGATTTCAACATTGCGACATCAGAAACGAAGAAAAGCAAAATAATGACTATTGTAACGTGTTGCGTAAAACAAGTCAAATTTGTAGTTTTCTTATGTCTCATTAGAACTACAGAAACGTGAACCCGATCGCGATTAAACGCATCCAAAATAAAAGTTTGTGTTTATATATATACAGTATATATATATATATATATATATATATATATACACACATGCTTGTATATATTTAAGAAATATTTTCATGTATATACTGTATATAGATTTAGTATATATAAATAGTTAGTATATATAAATAGTTAGTATATATAAAAATAGTTAGTATATATAAAACTATTTATATATATATATAAATAGTTTAGTATATATAAATAGTTTTTATATAAATAATATTTTTTTCTTAAATATACATGCATGTGTGTGAATTTATATATAAAGACAAAATAATTATATATATATATATTATAAATTATACATGGATGTATATTTAAGAAAAAAAATATTATTTATATATAAAATATTTATATTTATATATATACTATAAATTATATATAAATCTATATACATGAAAATATTTCTTAAATATATGCAAGCATGTGTGTGTGTGTGTGTGTGTGTGTGTATATATATATATATAAATAAAATAATTATACACAGTGCACCCACATATATTATGTAAACACAAACTTTTATTTTGGATGCGATTAATCGCGATTAATCATTTGACAGCCCTAGCGTGGTTATAACAGATATAAGACCGCAAAGCGAATCCAGAAGTGCCTTTCACCCTGTTATGACTTAATGAACCACTGAAACCATTTTGGAAACATTATTTTAAGGTAAAAAAAAATCTTACTTAGTGTTGCTTTAAATTATAGCAAAAAACTTGCTAGTAGCCACTTGTGCACTACCCTAACCAAGGAGCTTTTCAGAAACCCAACAGAAACCAGGTTGTCAGATCCTCCTCCAAAAACCCATTGAGTCAGCCCACAAGATGTGCCAAGTACCAACCGCTTGCCCGCATTCTCCACCAACTCGCAATCGATCGATTACATCATTAGCCAGGCATTTATAGGCTGATCTGGCATCTCGAAGCGAGACTGTTGAACTCTGGATAACCTGCTGACTTAGCATACGCGGGAGGGGTTGGGCCTGTGATTGGCTGAGAGAGAAATAAGGGTGTAGATGCACCGATTTACTAGGTCTGGATTGTTTTGAAACATGCCAATCAGTAGAGATTTTGCTGTATGGTTTATAATGCAGATGGCTATCAGTGCAAATATGATCTATATTAACGAGACGAGATTAATGAAGTTAATAATAATAGTTAAACAAGGCAGGCTCTTTGCTCTTGACACTAAAATGAGTGAACTAATTAATTAGCCGTGAGAACAAATCCTAAATCGAAATTGATTTATTTTTTCCGCCTGCATGTCATGTACTGTCAATACGACTTTAAATTACTGTGATATCCCGCCAAACTTTAGTACCAACATGCTCTGAGTGGCAGTGGATGATGACTGGGAGTCCTGAACTTTAATAAGTACATAATGTGCACAAATTGGTATAAGGGGCTTTTGTTGGACGTTATCTACAGTTGAAGTTTCCGCGCTGGAATCTGGCTGACATCCACGGTAAACGGCAATAATTAGTGTCTTTTTGGCTCTTTCAAGTGTCAGTGCTTTGTACTTTGTCCAGCTTTGAAATGCAGGCCAGTTCAGACTGGCGCAACTTTCATTGACCTGTTCGAAGGGTCAGCGAGACTCCAATTCAGGCACAGGGAAAATGTTTTTCGCTCTCCCGACCTTCGTTTTCTCATCTTGTCGTTTTAATTTACTTCCCCGGTTGGTTAGTCTGGCATTAAAGTGAAAAACAACAGAAAAACAGCATAATCCCTTTCCCTGCTTCTTTTCTCTCCTGCTTTCTCTGTGATGAGAGTATTAGACTGAGCCAGACACAAAAAGGCTTTACAACCCTGTAATAAAACAGAAAAGAAAAACAGAGACCTTCTGAAAGACTGCTTTTACTTAACCCAGAACAGGGGCCCTAAATAGGGAGCATATATATGTGTGTGTGAGCCTTTGTCCTTGCGTGTCTGCGTTCTGTTCATGGGTGTGTGTGCATGCAAAAATATAGCTTGGTTCTGAGGTCGGAGATGGCAGGTCTACTCAAACAACTAGTGCAGACGGCTATGAGTTATAGGAACAATTGAAAACTTTTAAAGCCACAAGACGGCTTAGTGTTAAACATTTTTCACAGTGATTTTTTTACTGCATTTTTGATCAAATAAAGGCAGCCGTGGTAAGCATAGAAAACTATTTTGACTATCGCTCGAGCAAATCGTATCTTAATAGCAGGTGTAAACCGGACCAGTATCCAAAGAGGTCTGCTGAGAGACAAGACTCACCTACTACATCCAGCGTGTAGGTGTGATTGATGGACCCATAGGCGTTCTCCACCAGGCAGGTGTAGTTTCCTTTATCAGAGGGAACGACACTCTCCATGATTAGAGTCCAGTGCTGGAGCCGGACCTGAACAGGAAAAAGGACAAATCAAAAACAGACTTCCAGCATATTACAACAGGACACATTCAGAACAGTTAAAGGTGTAGTTCACTTTAAAAAAAACTTTTGCTGATAATTTACTCACCCCCATGTCATCCAAGATGTCCACGTCTTTCTTTCTTCAGTCGAAAAGAAATTAAGGTTTTTGATGAAAACATTCCAGGATTTTCTCCATATAATGGACTTCAATGGGAACCAAACGGTTCAAGGTCCAAATGAGAGTTTCAGTGCAGCTTCAAAGGGCTTTAAACGACACCAGACGATGAATAAGGGTCTTATCAAGGACCCTTCGAGTCATGACTCGAAAAAAAAATTGTTTTTGATGAACGAGTTCGAACAGAAACGAGCATCACAGAACAGAGCAAGGCGAGCATTTGTGCTTATAAAACTTAAAACTTTTTTATTTATTTTTGAAATTACCAATCATTTCGCTAGATAAGACCCTTATTCATCGTCTGGTGTCGTTTAAAGCTGCACTGAAACTCTCTTTTGAACCTTGAATCGTTTGGTTCCCATTGAAGTCCATTATATGGAGAAAATCCTGGAATGTTTTCATCAAAAACCTTAATTTCTTTTCAACTGAAGAAAGAAAGACATGGACATCTTGGATGACATGGGGGAGAGTAAATTATCAGCAAAAGTTTTTTTTTAAAAAAGTGAACTACTCCTTTAAGTGACTTGTTTACGTAAATCGGATTTGAGTACATTATCTGCCAGACACACATTCTCCAATCGAATTCATCAACAAAAGTTTAATTCTCATTCAGCACCTATCATCCTCAATTTCACACCTGTGTGTGACGACTTACAAAATGGAGGGCAAATCTGACAGCAGCACTGACAGGAGAGAGAGAAATTGGCCCAGAAGACGAGGGTTTTTCGAGCGAGAGCACCATGGGAAAAGTAATATCGCCGTGCCGACAGACGAGCAAGCTCCCCCTCCCCCCCTCAGGAATTCAGCTCTCGTGACTGCAGGCCACAAAATCCAGCGTCTCTTCCATGGAGACTTTCCCTCCACAACTCTACCCAAACCCTCGACCTTTTCAGACCCAACAAATTAGGGTTCATTTACCTCAGGCACTAGATTATATACGTTATCCAATGATTCATTTATTTTATGAAACATTTGATATCTTAGAGTGTGTTTGGTTGGCTTGGTTCGTTTGGTCAAAACAAAACAAAATCATTTAGTCCTGGTCCGCTTAGTGTTCATAGGAGTTCACAAAGTTCAATAAGTTTACAACCTGATTGGTTGACGTTTATGACGTATTTTTCAAGACGTAACTTACCGAACATCCAAAACAATATTGTGTTATATGTGCCAGAGTTTGTTTGGAAGCGAGATCAATCTTTTCATCGTCTGCTTGTTTGGTGCGCGCTACTTCGGATTGGCAGCGTTCACACTAAATCAAATCTTAAAGCTACACTGTGTGATTTTTACCCCCATCTAGTGGTGAAAAGGTATATGACCATCCAGTGAATATTAGTTTCTGTTCCTCTCAATTCCGATTTCGTTTTAACTCCTACGGTGGCCAATGTAGTCCAAGATTAACATGGCTTCCACTTCGACCTCGTCCATGAGTGTTAACTCAAACGTAAACGCGAAAGGCGAAGCTTGAATTAACGGGTATGTCCCTCTTTGGCTAATGTACTTTCAAGATGGAGGGGCAACATGGCGACCGACATTAGAAACCCTTACCCGTATGTATTTTCAATGGCATATTATACACTCGCGAGAATACTTAATTACTTGAACGAAGTAAATATACATTAATGAGCACATATATTTTTGAAAGAACTTAGTGTTTTTAGCTAAGAATAAACTAAAAGAGTTACACAGTGTAGCTTTAAGAGAGCAATCACACTAGAGTACGTTTTAATCAAACCAAAAACTGTAAAACTGTCATCTAGGTGAAGTGTGGTGAGTTTTTTTCATGAAGTAAACCTTTTTCATTTTTTGTATAATGAATTTTTCCAATAATTGCTTTATGTTTACAAAAAACATAAAGCATTTATATTGTTATTAAAAATAATTCATATTTAATATTTTTAAAAGGTAATTCAAGTCTGGATTATGGAATGAACCAGTTCATGGTCCTCTATAGTCAGACACTGAGTCTTCAGATCAATCGAGCGTGAGCAGCTCAATCATTAGTGACCTTGTGTGTGGAACAGCTGTGTTTTCAGAGACGAAAGTGCAAACAGACACTGATCGGGGTACATCAGCCAATCGCCCCACACATCTATTACACTTTAACCAAGAGGCAGTGCTTCACCAACTGTTTTACGCTAACAAATCTGACTCATGCAAATCTGCCTGAGCAAAAAGGGTACCTATTTCTCCTTTAAGCATTATTAAATGTATATTTCGAAGAGCTCCAATTCTCATATAGCACTAGTCTCTCACCTTGTAGCCGCCCATGCGATCCTCCTGTCTGAAGAGTTTTGCGTTTTTCAGCCAGCGCATTTTGGGCTTGGGGTTTCCAGCTGCCGCGCACCGAAACTTCACAGTGTTGGCAGCCGGGACGGCGTGCAGCTTCTTCTCCATCTTCTCCGGAGAGGTCCAATATGGTGCCCCTGCAGGCAAGAAGGAGCAATTACAGCCAACCATTAATCTCATGCAAATATCACCAAGAATCACGCTTGTAGTGTACTATATATTTTCTTTGATGTCAGTGTCTAAGCCTTTAAGATTACATGCAGCTTTGATATGCATCACATAAAATCTCCATGCAAACTGGAGGTTTTTATTATCTGCACCCCCCTCTCTTATCTGCTTTCAGCAGTTCATACATCAGCCCCTGTCATCTACAGTGTTTTCTATATCTATGTTTATGGAAAAACTCAAGATCAAAGCCAAAAACAGTAGCTCTTGGCTTAATATTGTTGACTGAAGAAGACATTCATTTGTTTTTTGCATTTGCAATATAAAATCAAAATTGCAATATGACTGTTAAACCAAAAAGGCAGTGATTTTAATAAATACAATATATTTTAAAAATATTAAAATTATTTTACTGTGATTGTTGCGATCCAAATCGCACTTGTAATGCGCTGGCAAAGCATTTGTGTCACATGTAAATTAAGGCAGTTTTGTTATTATTAACTAATTAAAACTATTAAAAAATGACGTTAATCGAAATAAAGCTGAAATAAAGTAAAAAATTAAATATTAATTTTATAAATGAATTATAGAATTAAAATATTAAATAAAATATGGTATAACATTAAAATATTAAATAAAATATGGTATAAATGTTAAATAAATTGTATAAATAAAAAAAAAATAGAAACTGAAATAAAATAAATCGAAATCGAAAGTACTAAAACAACAAATAAATTAAATAAATTGTTTAAATAAATAAAAAAATAGAAACCGAAATAAAATAAATCGAAATCAAAAGTACTAAAACAACAAATAAGGCTAACTAAAAATGATTTGGAGAAAAAAAAAACGAATAAAAATGAAAAAAGAGCTAACCAAAATTACTAAAACATAAAATGAACAAAAATATATTCGCAATAATAATAAATGCTATAAATAATAGCAAATAACATTGACATGAGATGGCAAGTCAAGAAAGTAAAACAATCAAAATTAATTTTGATCCAACCTAAATATCCCAACATCATTGCCAAGAGAGAGAGAGAGAGAAAGCAGGAGGCGCCTGAAAATCAGCAAGGGCAAACAGGAAGCCATGACCACGGATGTAAATCGAAACAGTTATTCACACTCGCAGCACTGCATGACTGCACCGCCCATCTGCTTAAGGGAACCCTGCAACTCACAGTGAGCGGCTTAAATAAAAACATATTCCCGTTCGCTCTGGAAATACACAGGAGAAAAGGAGGATAAAACAAGTCGGTCCAAAAACACAGCGGCTTGCCAAGAAGGAACTGGACCATCACATCCAATTTCTTTTGTTCGACAGACATGCCAACCGGAAGGTTGCAAACGACTTGATATGAGACGTGTAAACAGACATCTTTCCCTTCAGCACGAAGGCACGCTAATTGGTTTTCAGCCTCTCAACGTCTGTTTTCTTTCCTCACCACCCTCAACTTTTTCATCTCATCTCATGGGAATTCTTTCGTAACGGTCATTCTCTTTGACCCCGGCGCCCAGACGGACAGCAGACTACATATCTGTAAGCCTGACTCCTTTTAACTTTGTTAACGACTCAGGTTTGAAGATGAGAATGACCCCCTCGGACAATGGGGTGGAAGGGTCGGATGTCCTGGGAAGCCCCAAGACAGGTGACAGATGGACTGACCAATGAACCTGTATAGACATTTTTCCTCAAAAACTCTTGGAATCTAGAAGGGTATCAACAAATACCACCGTTATCTGCAAAGATCACTTTGAGACATCCCAGCAGCTAATTCCATGAAACTAAGCAAAAACATTTCGGTTTTAAACAATCAGTGTTGTCTACTCCAGCACATCTCACAAATAAAGGAAACTTTCTCGTGAGAGGGGGGAAAAAATTGGTGTTTTTGAGACTGCTGTTGTTGAGGCCCCATTGCAAAGAATTATCAAAGAGTTCTGAGTGGTTCAGCTGGGCATAAATCCAACCCACTGAGCCCGAAACCGCCCCAAGCACAATGCTGAACACCCCTCTATCCCAACCTCAATCCCCCAACACACCCACCTCAACTCCACTCGTTCGCGGCCAAAGGCCAGACCTCCAAAGCTTACACAGAAAAGTGTTGGTGCAGATCCAAACCAGAGCCCATTAGCTGAAAAACCTCGCCCCACCCCTCTTTCCAACAACCCTCTTTAATATTTAGGTTTGCACAACTCAAAACAGATTTTGTTGGGTATGCCACTCGTTTCAACAGTGGAAATGCAGTCAATTTCCTTTCCTCACCTGTCACAGGTTCTCCAAAAATGTAAAGCAATTAGAAATGAGTTGCATTTTTTTAACTTTAAGGTCAATGGGTTATTTCAATGGTTTTGGGCCATCTCATCAATATCCCACTCTTTTTTTTAAGCTTTTACGTGTCGTTAAAAAGGATGTTGTAATGGGACTACATACTGTAAGTCGTCATCAAGTAACAAGTAAACTTATCTACTCAATAGTAGTTTGTGTGAGTAGGTGCCTAACTTTACTTCTGGATATTGTATTTAGGCTTCAAAAAAACAAAATTCCTCGCAGCACTTTATTGATTAACAAGGCTTTGTCTAAACTTCATTAATATTCTACCTCAGGTCTTTCCATTTTGCCATTCTCCCAAGTGGAGCCCAGTCCAAAACACATCTCTTAGCAGTTAAATTACAGACAGGCCCCTGATGGACTAGCTACCTGAGAAGGGGACGACACAAAGACACAAAGGAAGACGGAAAGAGGGAATGGAATTCTGGGAATGCGTCTGTGCTGGAATTGCTTGATGACATAGTTAACATCAGACTCCACTGTAGTCTGCCTCAGTGAACGTAGCAAAAAACAAATACCTTCGTTAATAAACCAAACAAAAACAATGTATTGCATCGGCAGCTCGCACTTTTTTATTTTCTCTAAAAGTGCATTTCACATAGTACGTTTTGGCAGCTGGTGATTGGCCGTCAGTCCCGATACTCACGCATTTGTTCGCCGTCCGCCCCAACATCGTCCGATCGCTCCGTGTCGTCCTCATCGTCACCGGATGAGATGGCATCTGCAGAGAGTACCGGGAACACTGTAACCGTGCTTTGTTTCCCCTGTCACCCTCACTTCTATGCTAACTACCATTTTCAATTATTAGCTATTTCTGACACATTAATATAATCTGTCTCATCAACTCGCAATTGCGCAATATAATAAGTCTCAATTTCATAATATAAGTCACAATTCTGAGAAATAAAGTCGCAATTGCAAGATATAAAGTCGCAATTCTGAGAAATAAAGTCGCAATTGTGAGATATAAAGTTGCAATTCTGAGAAATAAAATCGAAATTGTGAGGAAAAAAGGACAGAATTGAGACTTTCTATCTCACAATTCTGACTTTTTTTCTCACAATTGCGAGGTCACATATCGCAATTCTGACTTTATAACACATAATTGCGAGTTTATACCTCAAAATTCTGACATCTTTTCACAGAATTGTAAGATATAAACTCACAATTGTGAGTTATCAGGCCAATTATAGTTTATATCTCAAAATTCAGATTTTACAACACGCATTTTCGACTTTATAACACGCAATTGCGACTTTAAATCAATCAATTCTGACTATACTGTACCTCGCAATTCTGACTTTATAACACGCAAATGCGACTTTATATCATGCAATTCTGAATTTATGTCTCGCAATTCAGAGAAATAATGTTGATTTGCGAGATGTAAAGTAAACTCGCAATTGTGAGAAAAAAAGTCTTTTTTATTTTTCATTCTGTGGTGGAAACAAGCTACCATACATTTCAGATAAGTAACCACTATAAAATTGACATGTGAGGTGTAAATTACTCTACTTTTATTTCTTTGTAATATAAATCAAAATGAAACACAGTAATAGAGCGTTAAACATGGCAGTTTTCAGTCAACTGAAACGCAATATCTTATATTCAGTATTTATATGGTATTAAGTTTCAGTTAAATTAAAAAAATATTTTGTTGAAATTTCAGAAGGATTTTAAAATGTCACTGCAAGATACGATTGTGATCATGGCTGATATGAATGCTAGCTGGCAAACTGTCAGAAAGACGTAACATGACAACATGCTTGTATAACACAACAACAAAAGGAGTAAAACAAAGGCAAACAACAGGCATTTCAACCAATAAGTTCTTTTACAGAGCCAATGAATGTCGTAAAAACAATACAGCCAAATCCGAAACGTGCAAAGTTTTTTATAGCGCCATTCAATTTCAGGCAGAGACGGCGTGCGAAAACTCGTCTGCGAATATAAAAAGTCTTATTCTGCAGACGGCGCCCCCTGTGGTAGACAAGCGCCTCACCTGTAACGTTTACGATGAAGCAAAGCGCGTCGCTGGCCTTTGAGCCCGCGACACTGCACGCATACAGGCCCGAGTCCTTAGGGGTGGCGTCGCGGATCTGTAGCCACTCCTGATCTATGAGCGTGCGGTTGTCAGGGCCCAGCGAGGAGCCGTCTTTGGTCCAGATGATGGCGGCCGCCTCGGGCAGTGGGCAGTTGAGCTTGAGCAGTTCACCCGGGTGCACCGAGCACAGGGTGGGCTTAGAGTTTTGGTTTTTGGTTGGAGGCTCTGCAGAGCGAAGAGGAGGGCATGAGGAAAGGGGTGATAGGGTGCACAGAGAAAGAGAAAGACAAAGAGCAAGAGTGTAAGACGAAAAACACGTCACCAAAATAACATCCCTAGAGTGACTAGTGAGAGTGTGAAAAGGAGGCTTTAGATCATCAATTATATAATAGCTCACCCAAGTATAAGTCTATCCCAAATAAAGACACCCCAGAGTGTCCCATTAGCTGTGAACTGTGTACATAGAGCGTTTCTGGAAGCATGCAGCTGTACCAGCGGGAAAGAGTGTGGCATTAGCAGTGCGTTGACATGAAAGAGGTGCCGGTTGAGAAATAGGACTCAATATTTGTTCATTTTATAAACAGAGACTTGGGTTTTTCTTTCCCTGTCATTTCAACCCCGACCTCACACATTCGAATTAAGCCATTATTGCCGGCTTATTACATTATTCTCTCTATGTATGTGTGTGTGTGTGTGTGTGTGTGTGTGTGAGAGGTAAATTATAAAACCCATATTGGTTGACCACTAGTTCGTTCCAGCAAAACATACCATCTATATCCATTTCAATTCACATGAGATTTCATTGAGAGCAAAGCCAAGATGAACAGAAATCAAACACTCAATCAGAAAGTCCGAATGAGCAATAGAAAGAGGGAGGAATTCAGGAAAGACATTTTATCCATGTAATTAACTTGATCTTTTGGGTGGAGTGGTAAACAACGATTAAAGGAGTAGTTCACTTTTAAAAAAAACTTTTGCTGATAAGTTACTCACCCCATGTCATCCAAGATATCCACGTATTTCTTTCTTCAGTCGAAAAGAAATTAAGGTTTTTGATGAAAACATTCCAAGATTTTCTCCATATAATGGACTTCAATGGGAACCAAACGGTTCAAGGTCCAAATGAGAGTTTCAGTGCAAACTGTTCAAAGGGCTTTAAACGATTTCAGACGATGAATAAGGGTCTTATTAAAACAATTTTTTTTTTTAAAAGTTTTATAAGCTCAAATGTTCGCCTTGCTCTGTTCTGTAACGTGCGTTCGTGACTCTCCTGTTCGTTTATCAATTTCGTGTCATTTGGTTCATTCAATGAACAAGTTCGAACAGGAGAGTCACGAACGCGAATCACAGAACAGAGCAAGGGGAGCATTTGTGCTTATAAAACTTAAACTTTGTTAATTTTTTATAAATGAGCGATCGTTTCGCTTGATAAGACCCTTATTCATCGTCTGAAATCGTTTAAAGCCCTTTGAACAGTTTGCACTGAAACTGTCTTTTGGACCTTGAACCGTTTGGTTCCCATTGAAGTCCATTATATGGAGAAAATACTGGAATGTTTTAATCAAAAACCTTAATTTCTTTTCAACTGAAGAAAGAAAGACATGGACATCTTGGATGACATGGGGGTGAGTAAATTATCAGCAAATGTTTTTGGAAAAGCGAACAACTCCTTTAACACTGCACACTGCATAGTAATCATTAAAGGTGCCACACTCAAACTTTCTTCTTCAAACTAAAGCCATCAACACTTTCTAATATAGAAGCGAACTATGCAATCTGGGTGAAACGGTCTGAGCAACACAGATATTACATTTCTGTGCAATTAACATAGCTGGATGATTAGAAATGCCGCTCAGACCGCAATCTCGCACTGACGAACACACTCAGCAAATCCCCAGACTAATTATCCAAGTACACCATGATCCACTTCTGTGATAGCAAAACGTCTCTGATTCTGGAAGCTTCTGACCCTGTATGAAGGAGATCTCATGTTTCTACGGTACTAACAATAACCTATTGCATCTGAGCGGAAACTATGAATTAAGACAGACTAAACAGCTTTATACATGTACAAAAAGACATAAACATTGAAAGTGAGATATGGAAAAACATGGTCAGACTTGTCAAGATTCAGACATAATTAGAAGGAGACACTCCCAACCTTTCCCGTAGACAAGTAACACACCTATCTTCAAGCACATTCTTGTCTTTTTGTGACTGTGTGTACCACGGATTGAACTACACACCACAGGAAGGGAAAGTCATATGACTTGCGCTCAGTCCTCAAGGGGGTTGGAGTGTGCTTGAAGGTCTAAACTCTCACCCTACACACACACACGTATAGTTCCTGTATTGTTCCTTTTTTTCGCTACTCCGGAAACAATTACCTTTTCCTTTATGTCTTTCGCGACCGTGCAGCCTTAGAACGAACTCTGCTGCTGATTGATGGGAACGGTATTCATTGCCTTGCTCTTCCGGAGGCCTCTGTTTGTCCAACTGTTATTTAACTGTAATTGGTTGCGTATTTCCCTCTATTGTACGATTAAAGGCAACCTGAAAAAAAACTAGGCCTGCTCCTGCTTAAATCCTGTGTATAGCCAACACATGTGGATCTTTATTACATTTTTTTACATACACATGACCGTCGGACATTCAAGTCACTCTAAACTTTTAGATTATAAATAGAGAGCAGATAAGATGCTAATGGGTTTTGAACAGATACTACCGATTAAGGAGTGCAAAAGATTAAGCTGTGCATGCTGATAGTGGGAAAAAAAAGCCATGCAAAAATGCAGAAATAAGCAAAACAGGAGACGAGAGAGCTCTCCAACACATCCAAATTATTACTTTTCATACACTTTCATTAACACTTTAATGGTAACACTTTTCAATAAAGTTAATTAACGGCATTAACATGACCAAACAATAAGAAATATGTCAATTTTTACATTTATTAGTTGCATCTGTTAATATTATTTAATGGACCTGAGCTGACATGAACAAACAATGAAAAGTTGTGGTTTTATGAACTAACATTGACAAGGATTGATAAAAACTGTGACAAATGTATAACGTAATGTATCTAATGTAAAGTGTTACCACTGTTATTTATTTTGTTTTAATCGGTACAATTCCCGAATTAAACATATCGTGCTAGCGCCATGCTTTACCAGCAACATAGCAGCCAATTTTAACCTGTTTTAGTTGATCAAATGATCAGCTTCGTGGACACTTACAACACGCTTTATAACTCAAAGGTTAAGAAAACTTTTCTCACGGTACTACAATAAATTTAGTCCGTTCTGGCAAGCCAGGAACTTAGTAAGACGCAACCTCGACGTCTTTAAACATTTGACATGCTTTCATTCAGGTCCAGTACATCTGTTCTTTACCATCAACAGTACCTCCTGCTCCTTTTATTTGCTCTTTGACCTTTCACCTCTCACCCTGCCAACCGACCCCCTGCTGTCCACAAGACACAGACCCTCCACAAATCCACAACCTGTTGACATCCAGCAAATTCCAGAATTTTCTTCTTGGCAAAGGTCAGAGAAACATCCGACTCTGCCCGGTAAACGTCGTCTTTTACTTTGTGTGCTCAAACAGAAATAATACGCGGCTGAGGTAAAACACACTTGCAAACTCAATTTCTCAAGGTGTGACTATCCGTTCTCCTGTGTTTACTTCTGAAGAGAGTGTTGTGAGTGGTGGTTATTATCAAACGTCGGACTGTCTCGCACTTCCCGTACGCTCCACCAAGTCTTATTTTCGCCTCTGCTAGAACGGATAATTAGGCTCTCGAACAAACTGTGACAGGATCCAGTCTGTCCAATTCTCACACTATCCTCCTTCTGTCTCTGAGTGCTCAGGTAGAGATGCACGATTCTGGATAAATTGAAAATCATGATTTTTTTTCTTCTTTTTTTTTAATAGAGATCACTATGGAAGCTTGTTTCCGCCACTGAATAAAAAGAGAAAAAAATAATTTGCAACTTTTTATCTCACAATTGTGAGATATGAAGTCAGAATTGTGAGAAATAAAGTCGCAATTGTGAAATATAAAGTCAGAATTGCGAGATATAAAGTCAGAATTGCATAAAGTCGTATTTCTGAGAAAAAAAGACAGAAGTGCGACTTTTTATCTCACAATTCTGACTTTTTTTCTCACAATTACGAGTTTACATCTCGCAATTCTGACTTTATAACACATAATGGCGAGTTTATATGTTGAAATTCGGACATCTTTTCTCAGAATTGTGAGATAAACTGCCAATTGCGAGTTATCAGGCCAATTCTAAGGGAAAAAAAGACTAACTTTTCCCCCCCTCAGAATAGTTTAAATCTCACAATTGTGACTTTATAACATGCATTTCTGACTTTATAACACGCAATTGCGACTTTATATCATGCAATTCTGACTTTATATCTCACAATATAGAAATAAAGAAATAAAGTCAGAATTGTGAGATGTAAACTCACAATTGTGAGAAAAAAAGTCCGAATTGTGAGATAAAAAGTCGCAATTACCTTTTTTATTGTTCATTCTGTGGCGGAAACAAGCTTTCATAGATCACGATTCTCCCACTATTCTGAACAGACAACTAACCAAAATAGGCAAACATGTAGGTTCTAGCTACATGTTAAATGCTGCAGTCTATTCAAAATGCTTAATTACTTTGAATGATTTATTTTTTTTAAATCGGTTGAATGAATGATTCAATGGCTGCGTACTATGTGAGTAGGTACTTTATTTAAATAAGAACGGACTTTGCGACCGTTAAAAAAGTATGTTCTGTATAGTATAAATACGGGTAGTATGAATGAGTCCGGTCGTACTACCTATGCGTACTACATGTCGCGTGACATACGCTGCCACAACAGTGCGAAAATTTAAAGAGCCCATTCCAGTGACTGCACCAACTTTGCGCGTTTTTAACTGTTTTTAGTTCTGCTTTCTGTTTTCATCTGCGTTTTTACGTCGTCCGAGCCTACTGTTTTTCGAATTCTATGATTTCGGACATACTACTCTGTTCGCGTACTGTTTTTCGCATACTATATAGTAGGCAAGTATTCGATTTTGGATGCAGCAAATATAATGACTCACTCATAAAGACTTGTTTCATACTGGATGAATCTGTGTTTTTGAACGAATCTTTTGAAATTCAATGACAACAGTCACTTGTCGCCACCTACTGGTGTAAAGATATAATCGCTCCAATCGTCATTTGAAGCGCCAAGTTACTTTCAAAAGGTGATTTGCTCTATTTTGAACTCTTCCTTAGACATCAGTGTTTATATGCCAACTATAAACTTTAATCCCAGTACTTCTGTGATCGTTTAAATATTTGTAACACGTAAATAACAATACTGTATGATGAAAAGACTGTTTGTGAAGCTGTTTCATACCTAGCCACTCTCAGCACAAACTGTATCATTTTGTCCAAGGTTTAACGGACATGGCCGAATCGTTGTCATTTAGGAATGAGACCGTATGGGTGTTTGAATCGAGATCGCGATATTTTCAACAACCAATCGAGCAGCTCTAATTAGATGAGACGCGTCCTAGGTGAGACAAAGATGAAACGGCTATCATACACGCAAACCAGGGATTTGCAAACATCTATATGTTCACTCATGATGGAACTAGTAGAAATATTGATGCCAAATGTAATTCCATAAAAAATGCTTAATTCTTAAATTTGAATCAAAACATCACATATCAAAATCTCCTTATTTAGAATGAATCACACAAAGTATATGGTGTTGCTAAGTGGTTGCTTACTGGCCAAAGTCACGCTCAAGTCTTCTGGTCCCTAGTTATGCCTCAGTACCCTCCTTCAAAGATTAATCGCAACTATCCCCAATAAGCACACATTTCACATTCTCTATAGGACGAGTTCAGTAGTTATTATGGGAACTGTTTAGACAGTAATAGTGAAGTTTTCCTTAGCAAACACTGAGATTAGATCACAGGGGTTCGGAAGACAACCCACCCGCCCCACACAAGTTCAATCTACACAAGCTGTGCATTCGTTCTGTTCTCCTTTCACGTTCCCCTCCTTCCTCATTTTCTCATCCCTTCCCGTTTTCTACTCCAGTTAAATCCCAACACTCTTCCGTAGCCGCTCCTTTTCTTTGGTAATCACAATTGCCTTTCAAATTGTAATTTCTGCAAGCTTTATTGTCATGACAATGGCATGCCCAGCCAAAAGCACAGGCCTCTCAGGGGCGCCCACAGCAACAGATCGACACACAAGCATCCGGGCAAATCTCATTGGACAACTTTCCCTCCAAAACCTCTGGAGTCACACACAAACACTGGAGTTCTGTGGTGGGTAACTTTAAACTTGTTTTTTTTTTTTTTTTTTTTACTATTTCTGTTACGTGCTATGAATTATGTATCAGCTTCTTGAGGAGAGGTGTGCTAGTTAGTGCTTGTACTTTATTATTACTTTTACATTTTGGCAGACGCTTTTAGTTAGGGATGTAAGTCAATAAAATGGGCAACCACAACAAAAAAAAAAAAAAGACTTACATTATATACTGTATAGGCCCAGTTTTATATTAAGACATTGTTTTTTAGTAGATTCCATTTCCATTCCATTTAATTTGGGTGAATAACTTTAGAAAATTGGTTTGCACAAATACAACTACTGAAGAGAAAACTCACAAATGCTTTGCACCCAGTTGAGTTATTATTATTTTTTAAGTTTAATCAACTTTCTGTTTTTTTCACTGCACCCAAAACACTCATGCAACCACATAACAATGTGCTAATAACCAGTTTGAACACTTTAGCAACCACATAGTAATGACTAAAGAGGGGGAAAGTTTTGCAAGGGAAATAAATAGGAAAAAGTAAATATAAATTACATATATAGGCAACAACAAAAAACAATGTGACAGCCAATTGCCACACACACACAAAAAAAATACTTTTAGTTTGTTTAGTGGGAGAGTGAGGCTTTAGTCGCCCACGAAAACACAATAAACAAAGGGTGTGAGCTGACACTTTTATTACAGGGACTTGCAATCATGATTTAGGAACGTTTAGTATAAACAGAGAACGATTCGCCTAGGAAACCCCCTACTGAATTGCAGGTGGACACTTTAAGTCACGCTTACCCAGATTGAGCATCTCTCACAGTTCTGGCGTTACGGCTTTGGGTATTCTCGTTGGGAACAGGAACGTCTGGGTTGCGAGAGAAGAACCCTCGGGTTAAAAACTCAGAGAGCAAGGAAAGGGGACGATTTCGATTCCAGAAAAAAAAAAAAAAAAGAGTGATGGCCGGAAAGATTCGCTTGGATCTCCAGCCAATGTTTGAAACATCATCAAAGCCCCGTTTGACTGTGTCTAATTCTGTCCAAACCAACAGGGCACACACGCACACTAAACACCAGCAGAACCACTCCAATGGCAATAAATAAATCACACAATCCAAATAACAATGATCCGAACCCAAGCGTGTGCGATTCCACATTTTCCACCATTGGGCCAGCTTGGCCATACCTCTGGTTCAAACCACAAACCTTGAGAAAAAAGGGCGAAGATCTTCAACTCTATTGTGCTCTAAGCCCTGTCAGATTACATTTGATCCAAGTTTGCTTTCCCACACTTTCACAACGTGTTGTTTTCCAACCACTCAGAAGATTTCAACCACTCTCCCAGCCTTTATCACGTCTAAAGAGAAGCAATGACTGTTCTAAGTAAGCAGCACTGCTGATTCAGGAAGGAAATATAATATTTCTATCATATAACAGAAAAACTAGCTCAACTCCTAAACTGATATGCTATCTTAAACAATAACCCTCCCAGAAACACAACCAAGCCCTTGGTGGGCTTTGCATGCATCAAGTGGGGGCTGTTGTAGTTTCCCCCCAGGAGTGGGCGTTTAATGGCAGGCCTTTTTTTGTCCAATTGATGCATATACTGTTCTTTGGTAAAGAGTAAACATGTTTAGCACAACCCCCCATAAGCGCTCAACTACTTGAGTTGCATCTGTACAACATGAAACTGGTGTGGCTAGCGCTCTTCACCTTTCACCAAAACCTCCGAGCCTATCCTCATCACATGACTCCACTTGAGCCACTTAATCCTCCGTCACATGACCTCCCATAATCTTCCATCATATGATAGGAGAGAAAAGTGCAAATCGTCTTACAAAGTTCCACAACATAGAGCACTTAGTGCTAGATGAAATGTTAAGCGTCTGACTCTGGACAAAAGATAACTGACAGAACAATGCAATGCAATATTGTGCAACAGAATTCTTTTGTATTTAAGACGTTGAGCGAGGAGGAACTCTTAAAGGAACAGTCTATCCAAAAATTGAATGCAAGATATTTTAAAGCGTTCCCAAGTTGCTCTTTTCCACACAACGGAAGAATAAAAAAGGGTTTCAAGGACATACTTGCACAACTCCTGTCCAATATCCCATCTCATCTTTACACAGAACGTTCCCCTAACGTTCCCGAATGGTCCCATGAGGTTATTTTTTTGGGAACCAAACAAGAACGTTATAGGAACGTTCCATGTAGGTTATTTTTAGGTTCCATTTTTATAACGTAACATTCTCCTTACGTTATAAAAATGGAACCTAAAAATAACCTACATGGAACGTTCCTATAACTTAAAATATAGTTGCCTGGACCTATAGGGAAAGTTCTAGGAACGTTCTGGGAACCAAAAACTAACGTTCCCAGAACCTAAATTTGTTTGCTGGGTATATCTTCATTGAATAACAATTTCAATTTCTCTAAATTTTCTCTAGTTTTTCACACAAATCCACATAAAAGACTTAAAATATAGTTGCCTGGACTATATTTGGTGCTTTTTCGCTCTTTTAGGTCCAATAATGGTCTCAAAAGCCATTGATAACAATATGCTTCCATTGAGTGGGAAAAAGCAGAGATTTTTTAAAAATATTTTGCTTTGTATTCCAAGCAGACAGAAAGGCATACGCGTTTGGTACGAGATGAGGGTGAGTAAATGAAGACAGGATTTTATTTTAGGATGACCTTTCCCTTTAATCCTACTGTGGGCATGTATGAACCTCTTTTAAGCCTGAGGTCAAAGGGTATCTGGACAGTGTTAGTTGGGGGGTGGGGTGGTTGCTTCGAGTGATTGTGTTTGACAACTCTTTAATTAACATAGTGATTAAAGCTAGAAGAACAAAAGCAGACTTAACCAACACAACAGTTCCCATTACCTGCTGCCTTAAACTTAACAGTTGGGCAATATCAGAACAATAACATCAATAATCACAACCACTAATGGGAATGTGGCAAAATTGGTCCGCCACTGTGTCAGAAAGTGCCAAATAACCAAATAAAATCACTGTTTGTACTCTGATTTAGGAATGAAGACGGTTACAAACCACATCCCGTTAAAAGGAAGTCAAGAAAAGAGTGAATCTCTAGTTTCATTTTAGTTCAAAAGTACGGTTTATTTTCTTCCCAAACAAACTAATACGGGTTGGTTTGCGTCTGGATGCCAAGCTAGCTTGCAGGTATGTGTGTGGTCCTCAACTATGAACAACATTAAACTCAGACAGATGGAGAAAGAGAAAATATGGGGGGAAAAGAAACGTTACGATTGGAACCACAAAAATCCTAAAAGCGACTCTTTGGAAAGAGCTGTTGTGAATATATCCCGTACGAAAAATAATTCCATGCGTTATAAAACCTCAGGGTTGGCAGTTACCAGATATATGCTTAAACCACTTTCTCTATAATTATCAGCGTCACATCAAAGATGTGCTCCATGCAAAAGAAGTACTTCCTAGGGTTTGCATACAGCAACTCATAAAACCTCCCAACCACACTTCACTGCAAACCAGCACCTCCTCAGAACTTTCCTGGCTGTCTTGAAAACACAACCGTTTATGAAAAGCTAACTCCCATAAATCTGCACTAACTAATGATCTATAAAGCAATAAGGAATCCTACCTATAACCACAAGAAATTCCTCTCCGTAATGTTTTGTTTCACCCAAATTCCTCATTTTCCCAAGACTTCCCCAATAAAAACAACATATTTTCACACTTAGGTGCAGCTGTGATGGAGAAGGGGATTGTTTTTATAGCGATTAAGCAGCATCTGTTTTCTTGTCAACAATCAAGTACTGAGATTTCCCCTGCTGGTATGGGACACGTCTTCCGTCACTCGTGTTCCTTACCTTCAGGTTCAATCGTTGCCTCGACCTCTTCGGCATTTCTCAACGACGGCCTTGCCACGGACGCCGTCGCCAGGGTCAAGAGTAGGAGCGCACCCAGAAGCCACCCCCGGAGGGAGGACATCCCGTCAACAGAGAGTGTGTCTCCCCATCCCCCCCTCCTCGGCCTCCCCCTGGACACGGATCCCATCTGAGGTGCTCCACCCAACCATGAACTGCAGGCTGTACGGTCGGTCACTCACTGGAATTCTCACCAATCACCTGAGCTGAGGAGGGCAGTGGAGACGACAGTAATGGAGAAAAAGAGAAGAAAACTGTTAGAAAAACATTGTTTGATATCCCACATCCAATAAAACCACTCCCCTAAATCCACAGCATAGACCCTAAAACTTATTAGTTGATTCTGAAGCAAGCTGGGTTGTTTTAATCCAATTTTGGGTCCAATATGTGCACTCTTAGAAGAAATGGTTCTATTTAGAACCAGAAATGGTTCCATTCCCCGCTTCATATATGGAACTCCAAAATGGTTCTATATAGAACCATTTTTTTTGTAAAAGGTTCTATTAGCCAAGTATGGAACCCCAGGGCTCTATATAGACCCCCGAAGAATGTATAGAACCTTTTAGGGGTTCCAAATTTGTAGTGCTGATAGAACCTTATATAGAACCTTTTCTTCTAAGAGTGTGGACAAATCCAGCAATTGGGTTACAATTTTAAATTACATTTTTAACCCAATGTTTGAGTTTGTCCATATTAGACCCAAAATTGGGTTAAAACAACCCAGCATTTTTTTAGAGTGTATAACTTACAGGTCTATGTTTATGGAGAAGGCAGGTATAGAAACTAAAGGCCCACGTGTCAAAATGCTGTTAAACGAGCCTTGCCAGAGACATAGCAAAGCTCTGAGACTACACACCCGAAAAACACTTTCGTCAGCCACCGCCTCAAGAGCTACCTGCAACTTTTGTCAACTTTAAACCTTCCCACTCTGAAAGAACCGTACCCATCCAGAATAAGTAAAAGGGCTGGCAAATCATTTCAGACCCCTCACATCCGAGACGTGAACTGTTGCCGTCTGGTCGAAATTACAGAGCACTGAGCACTATACAGCCAGACACAATTGGTTTCTTTCCTCGGCCATCTACCTCATGGTCGATTAAATGTGCAACATGTGCTATTTATACTCAGATTTATTTAGCATGCCTGCCATATCTCTTATATTGCATCTATCTCTTGCATTGCACATACCTGTGAAACGTTGGATTTGGTCAAATTTTTATATCGTGCATTTTTATAGCCTATATATATTATTAATCACTTATTTTATTTGTATTATCTGTCCGTGTACTGGAAGCAAAGATAAATTCCTTGTATGTGTTTAGCATAGGCATTAAAGATCATTCCGATTCTGATAAAGAATAGACAGCATGATAAGGTAAACAGTTATTGATCATTTAATTTGTAAACATTAAAACATTTGCTAGACACTTTTATCCAATGCATCTATCTATCTATCTATCTATCTATCTATCTATCTATCTATCTATCTATCTATCTATCTATCTATCTATCTATCTATCTATCTATCTATCTATCTATCTATCTATCTATCTATCTATCTATCTATCTATCTATCTATCTATCTATCTATCTATCTATCTATCTATCTATCTATCTATCTATCTATCTATACAAACAAAAATCAGATTTCAAACATTCAAAACAAGACCAGTGAATTAAACCCGCGGGAATCGAAGTGAACACGCACACGTCACTCTCTGCGGATCTGGCGCGTAAATGCGCTATTGATCTGCTCTGTGATCGTGCGCGCCCATTTCTAGAAAGCTTCAATGCTTGTGAGATGATTGACGGACGCTCGTCCTCTGCAGTATTTTGCTCGAGTTTTTACCGTGAGAGGTGAGCAATGGGCGCTTTGATGCTGTGACACAAGATCGGATTTAAAGCACTGAGTTGTTCCTCATCTCTAATCATACGCGATGTGATCAATATAATAGGTTTGAAAGTGAATGCACTCAAGAGAGCCTGAGGCGCATTTTCGCTTATGCTGGATATGAGCATATCACCGTCAGCGCTTCCCGGGTTTGCTGCATGAGCATGATTTTGGAAAAATATTTCCCAACGCAATACATGACGTCACCTTCAGAGAACTTTTCTCGCAAATGCATTGCCGTGCGCATATAACGAGTGCACGCGCAATCTGAAGGAGTCCTCCTAGTCACATTGAAATCAGTGCAGAAAGCACTTGCTGTCGATGATAAGACAAACCACTGGAACTATCTCTACTGTCTTTTGATTACATGTAAATTGTTACTATTGGTTCTTTATTGAAGCCCATTACAAAGCTCAACCCTAATGAGTTTATCATGAGTTTATCGCAGAAGACTTAACTAGTTCACTTTGTGAATGGACAGAGTTTATCAATCGATCAACACTTAATTAGTATTCACATTATGACTAGAGTTCATTATTGATAGATTTTTTTACAAATAACATTCTAGTTTATTTCAACAAAGGTAGGCTATACTTGTTTAGTTTTATCAATAATAGGCTATTGTAAGGAAATCCCAAACCCATCATGGGAAAATATGAAGAGTTCAGATGCAAAAGCCTCTAAGTGCCATTTGAAATTTTCTTGTATCATTTTTATCAAGCTTGTATATTTAAGTTCAGTAATTTCACTTAAATTGCAATGAGGATTACCTATTAATTGTCATTTAAGTGAAATTACTGAACTTGAATATAGCTTGATAAAAATGACCATTTTAGAAGAAAAATTCAAATGGCATTTAGAGGCTTTTGCATATGAACCCTTCATATGTAAATATGCTGCTTTTTTGTTGTTTGTTTAGAAGATTATATCCACATATTAAAGGCACGACACCTGATGATAGTTTAAAAGCCATTACAGTGATTAAACTACACTTTGAAAGAAACTAAGACAGACTTGTGTTTTCCTAAAAAAAAAAAATCTAATTCGAATCTATTTGAATTCTAATGGATTGAAGTATTCCAAATGTATGTGCACGTTCTAAATACAAATGATTGCAGTATAGGCTAAATTATGAATGCATTAAAATCCTTCTTCTGATCATGACACTTAATTAGGAGGAGGAACTGCAAATCTAAGGGGTGATTTTGGGTGGATTTTTGAATGTATGCAATATACAAAAACGTTCATTTAACATCCAAAACAACAGACAACCGATTGGTATGAACATTCACTTTTTGTTTGCATCTTTAATTTACACCTACATTTAGCCTATACATCAAAAAAGGTAATACCTGATGTTTCATAATAGGCTAATAATAAGCACGGATTCATAATTTTACAAATTGCACGTTTCTTTTATCTTTAAAAAGATTAAAAAATAGTGCACGTTGTTGCACTAAGTGAAACATTTTGATAAACCTTCTGACATGGCCACTACTGATCATAAAAAAAAATAGTTGACATGAAAGTTATGACGTTTTCAGTGGAATCAACATATAGCATGCACAAATGTGCATATTTAATTGAATATATAAGTTCAGATGTTTTAATGGGGAATGCCACACTAACTAAACAAGGCTAAAGCCGCAATAAAATGAAACAACGGAACCTCCGCTTAAAATACAAAAGTAACTTACAGAGAAGGAGCAGATAGTGAAGTTCAGGATCCGCATATAAACAGGGAGCTCATGGGCCGAATCCAGACAGGAATGCGAGCAAAACTATTCCCTATTCCCAAAATCCAGCAGCGCACCAAAAACAGGATCGCATGCCAACAGCGAGCCAGCGATAGTATCCGTGCGTGTTTGTGTAAATCCTTCCAGAGGAGAGAGAAAAATTACGCGTCCCAGCAGAACTTTTTTTCGTCCGTAAACCAAAGTTGTTGTTGTTGCTTCACCAAAGGGCAAGAGATGCAACACCGCAACAAACACAGAATAAAACATCCATCCCAAAATACACATCCAGTGACATGAGCGCAGTCTCTGAGGATACTGGCTGTTCTCGGACGCTTTGTCAGGTTTACAGAGATTTTTTTCTCTCTCTCTCTCTCTCTCTCTTTCCAACCCCCTGAAGAAATGTCACTCCCCCCTGAAACTCGAGACGTTTCCTGGCTGATAGTTTTTGGACTCGGTCTTTCTCCTCCAATCACAGACAGAGCTCAGACCTCAGAGCTCGTGCTCCCTTCGAGCAGCTCGACCAGTTCTGCGCAATCCTCTAAAGTTGGTCCGGAACTGGGGGTCTCCCAGTCTCCCTCCCTCGCTCCAGTGCTGCAGAATGCCATTCATTCACTGCAACTGCGCCCCCTAGTGGCTGTTCTGTCGGATCATTAACCCTTTTGGGGTGTCAGAGACCCCAAGGCCATTTAAATTGCATACATAGAGTATTTGTGTCATGATGACACTTTCCATTTCATGAGTTCAATTTGAAATTTTATCAGTAAATGTTTATAAATTGCATTGTGACTTCGAGATTCAGTTTACAATATTTGTTTAGATATGCTTTGCCTTTAAAAAAGTTGATATTTGAAGACTTTCCACTTCTGAAAAATCTAATACAACAGAGATAAAGAGTGTATGGCAAACTATGCGATCCAAAAAACTACACTACTGCTCAAAGGTTTGGAATAACTGAATGTTGGCTGTATTTACATGATCAAAATATTCACATATTAGACCTATTTGAAATATATTATATATACAGCATATTAGAGTGATTTCTGAAGGACCATGTGACACTGAAGACTGGAGTAATGATGCTGAAAATCCAGCGTTGATCACAGGAATAAATTACATTTTAAAATATATTCAGATAGAAAACCGATATTTGAAATTGTAATAATATTTCACAATATTTCTACACAATATTATTTTACTGTATTCTGATTAAAAATGCATTCTTGGCCACTAGTAACATTCTTGCATTTCCTGAAGAAAGTCTAAAAGCCTAAATTATCTAAACCACTTCAGCTTGAACTTTAAATAATAATAATAACAAGGCAGTAATTTCCTTTTTTTTTTTAAGCAAGATCATGGTATTAATCTACAAAAACTGTATATATTTCTGCTTTAAAAACTATTCAAAAAGACCGTGAGATGCAATTAAAATGGCAAATTCTTTAATTATTTACTCGCCTTTGTGTTTTTAGAGCTTCAGACTAGCAGAAAACGGTCAATAAAAGCTGTTCTAATCTCACACAAAACTACCAACAAATCAGCTATTTTTATCATTTTATTATTAATTTCAGTGTAATACGGAGCCCCCAAAGGGACATGGTGGTGGTGCGAGAAAAAAAATAATAAGTCAATGCTTTTTGATCATTGCGAGCGAACGCAAAGTATCTGCAAAGAATATTTTTTCCTTCACCGTGTCCCTTTAGAGTCTCCAAGTGTAAAGTTGTGTACAAAGGATTGAGTAAAAAATGAGCTTGAATCTCAGTAAGATGCACTAGCCATCATTCATACTGTTGCATACGGAGCCTGTTACTTTCCCAGCATTACAGCTCTGCCTGATAGACTCCCTCGTGCAGCTCCCCCATGGAGCCCTGGCTCTCCCAGCGCTCACATGGGGAGGCTCCCTAATCAATGACCCCTAAATGTCACGGGCTGAGGGGCCCCGCCGCACTCCACACTCCCCTTCCAAACTGTCTTCTCCATTGGACAGGCCCTTTTCACTGATCCGAAGGAGTTGTGGAGGAGAGCGGGATTAGGAGAGGAGGAGGAGGGAACTGTGGTCTTTCCCTCTCCGCTCTACACCAGGCTGCCCGAGCCTTCCTCATAAAAGAAGCGTTCCCATTCACTGCGAACGAGCCAGCTAATAAGGCTGTTAAAGAAAGAGAGAGGTTCCTCTGTGAATGGGGCCTTCGATCACGGCTTTTCTTTCCCTTTTAGCCGCGATTCTCTCTCTCTTTCTCACTCATACACAGTGAAGCCATCACACACTCCCATAAAAGGTGACAGTTTGGATCGCAATGAGAGGGAAGCGGGGAAAGGAGGGGACAGGCCACAGGTTTAGGGGTGTGAAATAAAAGATGGACTATACAGTCTTTCACACGCTTCCCCATCGCCTGTCCGAGCCAGATTTACATCGGTTTTATGGCTGTCTTACAGGCCTGCCACATTTAGCAAACACTATAGGACAGCTAGGGAGAGCCAGAGAAAGAGACAGCATTGAAAAAGGTTGGTCACGTCTCGCTGTTCTTCATTTTCCTCGGATTGAATCAACAGTCGCATGAACACTTTACCTCGTTCAGAATGGAAGTTGTCAGAAATCACCACCTCATGTTGCATGCTAGTGGCATCCTATCAAATGGAAATAAATTAGCAGTGTTGTAGTACTCGAGACTCGGACTCGTCTCGGACTCGGTCTCGAGACCATATTTTAATGGTCTTGGTCTTGTCATGGACTCGTGTCCATTTGTACTCGGAATTGACTCGTACTTGAACATTTTTTTTTTTAGGACTCGGAATTATTCCAGAGTCCACTCGAGTTCAAATAAAAATATTTTTCATGATTATTAATGTATGTTAATAAAATATTTCTTTAAATTGATTGACACGCCCAGTGATTGGTGATTTTCTAGTGCGCAACAAATTGTAATAAAATTACTTTTAACACCACCTACTATGTGGCCTTTTTACCCTAAACTGATCATATTTTTTATTTTTTAAACTCTAAGTAAATTCAGTAAAAAAAAAAAAAAAGGATTTCTCTAAGTAAATAAAAGTAAATTAGGTAATCAACCCTCACTGGTCTCGGTCTCGACTCGGACTCGACTCTCTCTGGTCTCGGACTCGACTCGGACTCGACTCTCTCTGGTCTCGGTCTAGACTCGGACTCGAAAGAGGTGGTCTCGAGTCGACTACAACACTGTAAATTAGATTATTTTGCATTGTTTACTTAATTTGGAACATATTATGCCCTTTTACAAAGTCATGATTTTGTTTTTGGGACAAGGGTTTTATTCGTGAATGTTAAAAACACATTATTTTTCACATATAGTACATTGTTGCGGCTCCTCTCTTCCCAATCTGTCAGTAACGCTCTGGGCTGCGTTTCCCTAAAGCATCGTTAGCCAAATATGGTCGCAAGCCACGTCGTTATCCGCGTAGTACAACAAGTCGAGTTTCCCGAAACCATCGTTCCAATGAACATTCGCAAACAGCATCGTAAAGTTGTGTGGTTTGAACGACAGCTCTCGACCTGTGGTTAGAGGCATCGTTTATATATTGCATCACATTTGGACGTAATAAATCCTTATCTTGAGCAAAATAAGCAAGCTGACATTCAGTACGATCGGTGCCTTTTATTTAGAAGACATACAAATGTAATTGACGTATTTTAGTTTGTCAAAAGATTTAAAGTATTGTGTTTGAAGAGTGCGAACGTGCGCCACTATGTAAGAACGAGCCAAATATTGAGTCTGGTAATAAAGCAAAATAACTGAGAACAATTAGAAATAGTCCTCAGATGGCATGTTGATTGTCGAACAGCATTTATATATTTTTTTTTACCTCTTTAAAGCCACAGCCACAAAGCGCCCGTGCCCTCAGATCACTTGGACGTGGCTGGACAAGAGGTAAAAACAATATAAATACTGTTCGTTTTCTCACACCAACCGCTCGTTTCGTGTCTTGGGCCATTAATGTGTACTTACATTTACGAGTCATTTAATCATGTTTAATTTGGACTTCTCTGTGCATGCTCTTTGAGGTGGTGACCATAGACTTCCATTATATGACTGACAGACAAGAACGGTTTGACCTAAATATATCAAAATTTAAACTACTGCGGAAACAAAGACACCTACATCTTGGATGCCCTTGACGTAAGATAAAACATACCAAAAATTAATTTCAAAGTGAACTATCCCTTTAAGAAAAACACAATCACAAATGATTAGCCATTTCCTTAGGTCAGTATTATCAGAACTTGAGCATGAGAACAGCCACCTAATGGATGCCAAGCCCTCATCACAGCTCAGTCCGCCTGTTATGCTAATGTTGAGTTATTTCAGCGAGGCCATCGACACGACGGTGTTATTCCACCTCCAGAGAGAGTCACGTGACCAGCCTGCTGTGTGCTGCCCTTCTGTCTATTGACAGCAAGTTATGATTTATGCTAGACATTTGTTTGGTCAGCTTTTGATTTCAAAACAATCCAACCAAAATGCAGAGTTTGCTTTACTCTGAGAGGAGACGAAAAGAAAAACTATTCACACGGAGAATAAACATTCACTCCCCACGTCACTATGAGGGCAAGAATTCTTAGAAAAACATGATGTCATGTATCATCTCCCTGGCACCGCTCCCGAGAATAAATACTCATTATAAGAAAACACTTTAAGCAGTGTTTAGTGCAATTTGACTTTAGGTGTGCCAAATACTTGAACACTTAAATTATAGAGAACAAAGCAATTTTAGGATAATGTCTGTGTAGGTGTTCTTTGCCGTGTATTAACATGTTATGTGCAATATTCCGCTTGAAAGTCAAAGTAGAGTCCTGATCCTTGCTTAAAAGGATCTTAAAAATAAATAAACTCTTCAAAATTAAGAGTTTTATTGGCATCGATGGTTCCATGAAGAATCTTTAACATCAATGGAATCTTTCCATTCCACAGAAGATTTTCAAAGATTCAATGGATGTTAAAGGCTCTCACCAGAACCACCAGTGCCAACACAGAACATTTATTTTTAAAAGTGTAGATAATTGATACTTGAGTGACAAAAATAAATTGAAAAGCACAGGTCATGTGAGTCCAGTTCAGTTCTTATATTTATAGACAAACCAATCACAGATCTTTCCTGGAATGAACAGAGTTAGTTTCTAAACCCGGTATCAGTCTCGACGAGAGACAATATCTATTCAGATCAGTGGTTTTGGTTCGAAAACTCATGATGAGATCTCTACTACTATCTGTACGGAAAAGAAATATTCTGTGAATGTTTGAAGCTAAATGTACTGTATATATAAAATCATTTTTTATTTAAATTTCCATCTTTGTGCTCAAGTTTATTGCACTTCTTGTCATCTGTCATAACCGATGGTAAACCCCTAAAAGAGGCTTTGTTCTGCCTAATGTAGCCGTAAGGAAGCACTATATAACGCTCGATGGACTTGAGTTTGAGACCATCACCACAACCACTAATGGCATCACTAAAGCTGCACCACAGGGCCATTAACTGGTAACGCTTG